ATAAGAAAATCGCTACATGAGAAATCAAGTGAATATCCAATGTTGTAAAAATTTTAATTTCAAACACTCATAAAAATTTTATTTGACTTTCCGGTTGAGATTTTTTTATTGATAAAGGTAGACAAACTTATGAGTAATCTTGTATTACATTTTCAAATCTTAGATTTAAAAAGAAAAATTTTTACGATTTCTTAACTCAAAATAATTTGCTAATTTTCGTGATTTTTCCATATTTTGTCAATTTTTGAACTATAAATGCTTATAAAAAAAAAAAACTTTGACTAACGATTTTTAATATTTTTCATCTGCCTTTGAAACAATATACTAGGAGCCTTCTATTAAATTTTCAAGTTTTTTTAACCAACAAATAAAATTTTATTGATATTTCTAGAAAAAAAACTAAAAAAAAATGAAAAATGAAAATATCCCTAAACAGTTCAAAATATTTTGAAAATGTTATCGTCTATAGAAAATGCAAATATAAACAACCAGTGAAAATTCCATGTATCTACGGTCATTTTTTTTAGTTACACCAAAAACCAAATTCAATTTTGCATAACAATTCCCGTTTTTCCTTAATTTTTCTTGGCGCTTTTGAAAATTACTGTGAATTTTAAATTTTGACCTCCCCAATGCACCAACTAAATTCATTTTTCCATCGAACCAGATACTGAAGTTGAAAATCGGTGCATTATTTCGACTACTTATCATGAACAGAGACACAAATATACATCACTTCAAATCATTACATTTATCGTTCCGTTCAGAATCTAAAGACTAAAATGGATGGAAACAATTAAGTATAAGAAAAAAGAATCTATTTGTCAATCATCATAAAATGTTAGACAATCAAATTTTCTAAAACAATAGAATTTAATCTATAACTAAATATAAAATTATTTAGTACGATTGACGACTGTTATAAGAAATCCTAAAATCTTTTTAAAAATGGATAGTAAAAATCATTTTTTCCATAAAAATGTAGTTTATTTTTCTAATACTGATTTAAAAATGTTGATTTGTTATTTACTATTGTCTTATTGATAGTGATGCAGAGTGGACACCGTATATGTTATAATATTCACTCAATGATTTTTTAGTTATAATATAAAGCTTTGCTGCATCTCCGCGTAAGTGAGCCTCGTTCCATTATAGTAGTACTCTGTAGTCGGGATTACACTTCATGTAGGCCTTAAACAATCTATTTTTTTAACAATAATATATATTTATTTATCAAACAAACATTATATATCATACTAAAAACAGTCCTAAAGAAATTTAAATATTCATAACTGGATTTTTCACATAAATATACTACTTACTCAAATTTTTCCCTTTTGATTTTAATTTTGATGCAGCACATATGATCTGTAACCGTTTACCAAATGTATAATGATCAATGACTGTTGTGAAACCAACAGTTCTGGTCTATAACTAGTTAGAAAGTTAGAAGTTACTTTTGTTGGTAACTTTTAGCTTACAGTCTAGTTATTTTTAAAATAATCATAAAGTTATTCAACAACTTAAATAACATACATTTGTCTAACACTGAAAATTCAAAATGTTGATAAACTACTTATTAAAATGTAATCTTTATGTAAAATAATTTAATAACTTGAAAAATCCAATTTAAAATATTTTATCTTTGGACTATATATAATATTATAATTTTTTTTTTCTGTTATAATATATATATATACCTAAATTATAATGTTTTTTTAGTACTTACATAACTTTTCTAATCGGTGTTTTAATCAAAAAACATATAATCTAACTAAGTCACTGTATTTCTTAAGCTAATAAAGTACATAACCAATAAGTTTTTTTTAGAAATATTTTAATTTTAACGCGTTAGAAATTATTACTAACTTGCCCAGGCTTGAAAACTAATACACACAATGTAAGTAATCTAAATTGTTTGATTGTTTATAGGGAATAGGAATAATGTGGAGGAGTGAGATACACTAACAGGGGATTGTTGAGGACTGTAGCCCTTCATTCCCCATACAATTTAAACCTTAGTCGCACACTAATTAAATAATTAGCATTAGTAATCTAATACATTTAAAATACCAAACAAATCGAAAGAATAACAATCAAGATATCGAAGTTGATGTTTGAATTTGAACTGAAAATTTCTTAAAAGAAGAAAGTCATATAAATACAATCATTGTTAAGAATATTAAAATTAGATCTCTGTGTGTTTCTGTTCTCAAAATACTTGAGATATTTGGAAACAAACTAACTTTTTCAGAAAATTAACTGGCTTAATCAAAAACTGATTTGAACTCAACTCCATATTTTTAACCTTTTATTGGTTTATTTTTGTTTCTATTGTGTTTATAGCTGGCATAATACTTATATTGTAGGTACCTAATACAAAAACTTTGAAATGTCATTACATGTATAAAAATATAATATATATATCATAGACTAATGCCTTATAAATTAATAATCAATGATATTATATACTGTCTATACATAGGTATACCTATTAGTCAATTATTATAATCCACCTACCTAATTAATATGCTTGCACATTGTGACTATAAAACATTTTGTGACAAAGATGATAAAACTTAAAAATAAAGTCTTAAGGCCAGTTGTACTAACTATGACTAAACTATGATTAAGCTTAATCAGCTTATAACAGATATTTAAACGGGCAAATTCGTCCAATTAAACTCTGATCAACCATAATCATAGACGGTACAACTGACCCTTATTAATTTATTTATATTTCTCTGTCGGTGAAATTATTAAAAACAATTAATATGAAGAATTGTATTTTCCATTATTCCAGTACCTACATAGTACTAACATATACCTAATACCTAGATGAGTAAGTACCTACTATATGTTAGATAAAGTCATTTTTTTCCTTCACATTTCAATAGATTAATACTGTCCATGTGTTTACTGTTAACTGGACTTGTGTATCATGCTGATTGTCAAAATGATAGTGAGTATATAATAAGAAACAACAAATTATACAGTTTAATACAATTATTTTTTTAACTTTTTTTAATTTAATTTTAATTTTTATTGCATAACGGACAACATTGTCGCTCTACCTGCCATGTACATCAGTTTTGTCTTTGTTGCACCGAGGAAGTTTTGTCATTATATTTTCAGGAACTGGAGCATATGATACTTCGTATACTTCTTAATGATCGTAATTTACCTCCCAGATGGCCAATTCTTCATCTTCAGGGATAATGAAGTCAAACTCATTGTATTCATAAACTTCAGGCATTTCTGGTAATAAATTTCAAATAAATTGTGCAAATTATAAAATAACCATAGGTATTATTCAGCAGTTAATACATACCTTCTATATTGATGACTTCTACATTACCCTCTAAAATTGCTTCTGCATATTCGACTATAGACTATTGGTTCAACTTCTTCTTCAGAATCTATTTTAGCACTATATAAAAGGAAAAACAATATTTTATAAACGTAAGTACCCTTTTTGTTATTTATTGTTTGTAAATAGATTTATCTCCACCAATATATTTGTACATTTAAACAATAATTGTATATACTACATATTATGTACCTTCAATTTCTTCGTGCCAATTTAACTTGTTAAATACCTATGGGTATTATATGAACACTGAATAAGAAATTCTTTAATGGTTATTGCTCCTGTATTCAACAATGCTGTTGAAATTTGATGTGTTGTAAATTTAAAATATATTTAAATTTCACATTTCTTGTCATGGGCAATCCTGCTGATAACTGATCCACAACAACATGCATTTTTTTGCTAATATTATTGAGATTTTCTTAAATAAAAATTTACTGATTGATCATCAATAGGGTTAGGGACTTGTTGCATTTGCATATTGCTTAATAATGACTCCAGAATAGTCTAAGTATGATTTAAATTTGTTTTAAGTCATAATGGATTCAAATACAAACATTTTAATTGCATATTTGACACATTTTGGCAGTTTCATTGTTATTTAAAGCATATTTATGCAGTTTTTGTTTTATTTTAAAGGTTAACTTTATTTTATTTTTTTACTTTCATGTGTTGTTCAATATACCTAATCAGTAATTCATAGTTTTTGTATTTAATAATAATTTAATATATTAAAGAAAAACCCAACTTTTTTTTCATTGTAGGAGAAGACGAAGCAAATGAAATTGAACATACACTTCAGTAATATAATGTTAATGGTGTTATTGTTGTCAATAAATAACTTATTACAAAAAATTGTCTAAATTTAAATGAATTAATCAAATTTTTTAATTTAATTTTAAAAAATATTCAGTTGCATATTTTGGTTATTTTAAGTGCATATGTGCATGCATATTTCCTACAATTTGTGTGCAATAAGTCCAAACTCTAATCATCAATATATATATAATATGTAACTTTAAAAAATTAAAGTTTAATAAAGTATTATATTCACAAAACGAATGTTTGTAATTTTTTAATTAATATTTTATATTATTTTATTGTATTATTTAAAAATTAAAACTTTTTAGATTTAAGAACTTTAATTTGAATTAAATATTAACAGAAATTATTTTTATTTCTATTTATTTTATAAATTTAATTAAACTTAGTATTTAAAAGCTTTTTTTCTACATTCCACATACTCTTTGAGATTTAAAAAAATATGTAGGTATTTCAGGTTTTTGGTTTAATATTAAGCAATTTACAAAATTAATATTTCATAACTTTGTTTAAATTGAGCAACAATATAAAAATTTGTTTTTTATTTTAAATGGTATTTAATATTTTAAAGGTTTTAATAATGATTTGTGGATCATACTTTATGAGGGATTGAACTGATTGATCGATGACTAAATTATTTAGTCAAAAACATTTAATTTGTTTTTTATGAAATTTTAAATTAAGATCATACTAAAATATTATCAATAGTATCTATAACATTTTTTAGACTGAAATAACTCACCCAACATTGTCCACAAATTTGGGTGCATCACCTCAAAAGTTTGTTTCATTGTTGAGTGAAAGCTTTCTAAATTGTTGTTTGTGCGACGTGGTTGACAGTGCACATAAAAACAATAAAATAAAAGTTTTGAAAATTTCTTATAAGCCAAAAACTAAATGCAACAAAAATAGTATTAAGAATATTATACTTAAATATGAATTAAGGTTTTACAAACACAATAATTTACCTTGAAAAGTAAGTGAAAACCCTTGGCAATAATACTTCATGAGTTTGGGCATAATTTTTCACTTCTTGAAATCCTTGCTCAATTTGATAAGCAGTCAATAGAGCCAACACTGAACACATTCTAAAACACATTTTTGCCTCTCGGTTTTGCTTGATGTATCCTCAATAACCTATTTTTTTTTTTTATGTTTTTCTGTAAGCTCTAAATGTTAAATTATTTGAAGCTGCCAATATAAATTAATATTAAATGGATTTTAAATAGCATACCTGTAAAAAATAAAACCAACAAGAAGAAATTTGAACTTCAGGATAAACATCAAGAAAAACATTGCAGAGGGCTGATTCAAATTCTATCATAATTAGCAGAGCCTTAACTTCTTGAAATTTAATTTTGAATCTTTCCATAACTTTCCTATAGGAAGCCTAAGTTTTGGCTTCCATAAGCACAAAACATATTGGTATGGACTAAAAAATACATTCAATTGTAATATGTTTTTTAAACTTAATACTTAAATGTAATTACATATTTAGCTTACATGGTTTTACAAAATTAAATGAATGATGAGAAGTTGTCGACAATAAGGTGTTTATGGAACTACCTTAAATGTGGCATCTGCATGTAGTTCTGTGGCACTTATCAACTCCTGACATGTATACATAATACTGTATTTGCCAGCATTGTCAACAACCACTCTAGGTAAAACTGACAGTTGTACACTGATACCTGTAAACAGTAGGCAATAGTAGTTACATCATACATTAAAAAACTCGGGGCATGGCAGAAACCTACGGGTGCATCACTAGAAATTCTGCCACAACACACTCACGTGTACCAAACCTATCCATACTACAACTCACAAATTATCTTTTTAAACATTTTTTTAGGGCTAAGTTAGTGCTGAAAAAGCAGATTTATAGATGGGTACAAAATCTGGTAGGTATATTATGATGATTTTTCTACGTTATTGGTAATTTTCTCTCTTCTCTATTGAAAAATTGCAATTAAGTTAAAATTGTATTTAATTTATATCAGCCGTATTATAAAATGTCCACATAAAACAATCCATTCAGAATATTATATTTAAAATAAATTTCAAATACTATTGAGATTTAAAATAAGTAATAAATAAACAGTGAAACATATACTAGTATACGGCATATAAGTAAATTACATATTAAATTAAAATTAAGTTATTTTAAATATTATACTGTTTAAAACTTCAACAATTTATTTTGGTTAAAATATCATTTTAAACACAAAAAACAGTTTAAAACAAAAAATACACCAACTCTGAAGTAGGTACAACAGTTATGTTTATATATTATTTATGTATGTTAACTGTTTTGAATTATACAAGGTAAAAATGTATTTGATCTTGACAAGGTTTAATAATATTATATTGATTTTATTAAATACCCATGTATTATATTTTAATTTAAAAATAAATTGTTTTAAAAGGTACTACATGTATGCATTTAACTTGTTGCTAAAGTACAATACATTTTTATTTAAATTTTTTTTTAAATTTTTATTTTTAAATATATAATATTATGATCTAAATATTTTAGTTAAAAATTATGCGAGCCAGGGTTTCTTAAAATTGTACGGTTACCGGCAAATGATAATATTATAAAATACAGGAACATTATAGGTACTGGCATAAATCTAGTTTAGGGGCCAAGCGATTTTTTCAATTTTTTTTATCGAAACTTATGTATCTCATCGAGTTAAGAACGATGGTGCAAACAGAATTTGTCGCTCTCATTTAGTTCCGAAGTTATGGCCTTCCAAAGTTTTCGACTGCTTAACTTGCAGGTTTACATTTTAATAATATATTTATTTTATTAAATATACATATTGTACTCATCTAATAATAAATCTTTTTAAAATTTATTATGCATTTAACTTCTTGCACAAAGGAATGGTGTACAACAGATTTTTATTTTATTTTATTCAATATATTTTAACTGTTTTAAATATATCTAGGTTTAAATAATTTACCAAAGAAATTATACAACTAGGTAATTGCATATGTTGAGATTTATGGTTTATTTTCAAGTTCAAGTATATTAGAACATTAGGTGCAATATTAATGGTATATGTAAATAATTTAAAGTTTAATGTAGGCATATACAAATAGACAATACAAATTTCTTAATGTAACTTTTTATAAATTATTTAAAATAAAAAAAATCATATTTTTAATGTTTAAAGAATATTTTAATCTTTTAAGAACCTAAAAATCTGCTTCTAATTATAAGTTATAACTTATTATTATTCATTAATTACTCATTGATAATTTGATTTTATACAATGAAGTATTCTACTTTGGAATAAGGAATTCAAAATGTAACTTTAAATTTTCTGAAATCCCAATCCGTCCCTGGATGTAACACAGAAAAAACTTACTTTAATTTGAATCGATGATTTGGTTCCCATTGATTTTCTTTAGTTATCCAATCTGTATTTCTGATCTCTGATTCAACATTGTTCAATTTCAATTCTTGTAGACTAAAAATAATAACCGATTAGGAGAGTATTGAGTTTGAGTACCTATCTCCATGATTTCCCATAGGTAGTAACAAACTAACATAGACCCCAGCATAGATAGATCGTTTTTAATGTGTATTACTAATATATTCTGCTTTAATAGTAGAACAGACTGGATGCTTTTTGCGTAGACATTTACATTAAATGTTTGTACATTCTTATAACTCCGATATTCTACAATGAACAAAAAAATGAAACATTTTTAATTTCTATATAAATATCAATATCAAAAAATACCCTACCAGTCATTTGGTACATTATAAAGAAAACTTACTATTAAACAATATTTGTTTCATCAACATCGAACTCATATTATCTAAGTTGCTGTATTCAAGAAATAATTATAAATACCTATTAAATTATACTTCACAAGATGTTAAACCTTGGGTATTTGATACCTAATCATATTATACGTCTGTATAAGGAACTCAGACAAAATAATTATTTGTGATGTACTATGAACAATGAACATAGTAGCACAGAATACAGATTATATAAAAAATATAATAATCTGTGATAGTAGACATATTCTGTATTTCTGTCATTCTGAAACTGAAAAGACTATAGAGTATAGACTATAGAGTAAAATTAATGTTAAATGCGGGAGATCAGCAATCAGTAGTTGTCCGGAAATGATAAGGAGCCGACGACTGATAACAGTTTGAAAATCAAAAAGCGTTTCCAATCATACAAAAGTCGGTACACACTACACATTAATTTATTAAACATATAAATATTTATGTATATAATAATAATTAATAATATGATATTATAATATAATACGGGGAGATATACAGGCTGTAACAGAAATATATGACATATCACATATACATATACTGGAATTGTTCCTAAACAGTTCAAAACAAATCAAAATGTTTTGAAAATTTTATCATGTATAGAAAATGCAAATATAAACTACCAGTGAAAATTTCATGTATAAACGTTCATTTGTTTTAGAGTTAAACCAAAAATAAAAATCGATTTTGTCATATCTTTCTGTTACACCCTGTATACCTACTATATTGTATGCATAAACAATATTAAAATTTAAACATTTTCTGCACTTTTTTGGATTATACTTGTTGAATAATTTTAATTTTCTTTAATTTTATCAACACCATTTTGAACCATGTCTCTTGAACAAGCCATTACTGTGGAATGTGGTATGTATTTAACAACTTCCTTTGATTGGTGGAATCCCATTTTCGAATTAATATTTGTCAATAGTTCATTTATATTTAACTTTTTCAATTAATTAGTTACTTAATTGTCTAATCAAATTATGAACTTAACGAGTTTATAAGTTTATTTGACAGTTAAAATAACTTTAGGTAGGTACCGAGGTATAATATGAACAAATTATATAATAATAACAATTAGTATTTTTTTCCATATTAAGGGGTATGCATACCGACCATTTCTAAGGAGTTCGGTATAGGCAATTTTCTAATGGTGTGCATGCGGGTCGTGTAAATGTGTGCGTAGTAAGTGATTATTTGTGTGGGTGACTGTGTATAAAATAAATAGTGGAGCACACCCGCACGTGCATGCACATGTCATTAGCGGAACATTTTACACTCTAATTACAAATGTGAATTTTAGTGAAACACTGAAACTTAGTTTCGTATTTCCAATAATATAGCTTACTGAGTGACATTACAGTATGAACACCTATTATACAAATTGAAGAGAAGGAGTTTATCTAGGCTTGTATAGGAGTCGATTTTCGATATTTTATTTTCAATGTCCAATATTTAACTCTAAAACTTATGAAATTTTACTTTTTGAATTTGAATTATTGAGTTTAGTAATTACAAATATTAACATTTGACTTCTATACAGGCACAGATTAACTTCTCTTCTACAATATTGATAATAGGTGTTTTTACTCTCAAACCACTTAATAAACCATATTATTGGAAATACAAAAGTACATTTTTATAGATTTTTTCAATACTATTCATGCCCCTTAACTTTAAACAAAACTACAGTAGATACATGAAATTTTCATTGAATATTTATATTAACCTAACCTAACCATATAATTTTGAAAATATGTTGAGCTATTTATAAGCATAGGTAATTATGAAAATTTCGATTTCTATTTTATTTTTTATTTTTTAATTATTGTCGATAAAAAATGTTTGTTACAATATCAGTTTAAAAATATATAGGCAAGATTTTTTTTATAATCATTTAAAGTTCAAATTTTATACAAATTTATTAAATTGAAAATTTACAAATTAGTTTGTTGTTAAAAATGTATAAAATGTTCAATCAATATTTATAGTTACCTAGAATTGAATATTTAAAACAAGGTTTAATGTAAATAATTCATTCTGTAACCAAAATAATATCTAAAAAATATATTAACACGTTTTTTTTATAGTTATTTTAAGTTAAAATTTGGACGAAGTTGTACAATATATTAAAACCAAGAGTAACGCTTTTAGTTATTTTTTATTTGTGGGTACTTGAAACTTTTAGAGTAGGTATACCTACCTATTTATTATTACATTTTATACACACAATGACACATTTAAGTCCAATTTTTTCGACAAAAATGAATATAACCTACTGGCTACTGCGGTTCTAATGCTTCAAAATAAATTAAGCTACTTTAATCACAATAATATCATAAAATATTCCTTACTAGTAATATTATAGGCTGACAGACCGTCTTCGCTATCATTACAATGATTTTATATCATTGAATTCTAATTTAACACATCTATTACAGACTTACAGTGACTCTCTAGACACCTAATGTATAACAATATAACATAATATAGCGTTACCCACATAAGTAGGTACACGATTTTCTTTTCATTTTGTGTGATAACGAAAAATCACATTTTAAAATATGGTAAACTTTTACCAAGCTTACCAAATTTTAAAATGTGGTTTTTCATATATTATATCTGTAGGTCTGAAGATAGTTGTGATTTTCATCCACACTAAGGGTGTGGTGTTTTAATATACAAAGTTTGCAGTTTTTGTCTATTTACCTTTTAGAAGTCAAAATCATAAGTGTGCGGTATTTTGGATGCCACCGAAATTGCAATTTGTAATTGCACGATAGTGTGGTAGGTACAGTCTATACTGCAGTATATTATAATATTATACTGTTAATGTAAGTATAGGCGGCTTTTTATGTGTTAATTATGTGATACACAAACTAAGTCAACGAGCATTAAACAATTGTAAATAAAGTGTTAAGGGGCCTACTGCCGTCAATTTTAGATGAAAAGACCTAAAGTATTGACAAAATTAAAATTAGTTATCTAACGTTGTCCGATTTTGTTTCTAAAAAAAAATTTGAGCTCACCAGAAAATTGTTTACAGGTCCTACGAAGCACTTTGTAAAAACGAAATTTTATATTATTGTGAACTGTAATTGAAAACTTGAAAATATCAAAATTTTTGAATCATAATTAAAATTAAAAACGGAAAACGTTTCTTACGATCTACCGACATTTTTCTGCTTATTTCAAATATTTTGTCAGAATCAAAATAAGACAATGTTAACTAACTTTAATTATGTCAAAACAAATATATTATGTTTTTGTAAAATTGATATGGTTATCGAGTTATTGACATGTACATGAGCGTACGAGAGAGGATAACCGCATTTAATTTCACTCACACTAATAAGTAATAATCATTTACAACTACGCATAGATCCCGGGCGGCTATGACAAGATTAGAAATTGCCTAAATGTTGTCCCTTAAATAATGACCGTAGCTAGGCCCCTTTGTTAAAATTAAGTATGTATGTACCTATTATACGGTTTCAAATAACTAAATGAAACGTAAGTCAGAGAAAATATAATATAATAATATGTTTATCCGTGAATATGCACATCCATTATTACAAAGCGAAATACAATGTTTCCTTTAACTGTCTTAAAAAAAAAAAATAAAAAATAATTTATATAATTTATAATAATAATAATAAAATATAGTAATAATAATAATAATAATAATAATAATAATAATAATAATAATAATAATAATAATAATCATAATAATAATAATAATAATAATAATAATAATAATGTAATCGATAATATTCATACATTAAGATTAATAAGTTCAAAAGACTTGAGTCTTAAAGATATTTTTATTTTAATAAGATGAAATTATAAAAAATATTTAAATAAAATATTGAAAAAAAAACGTAAAACAAAAAAATTCAAAAGTATAAAAAGTATAATAATTAGTAAGCACAAATACAAGTATATATATGATATTAAGACTTCTTTTTGAAAGTGATTACAGTTTGTTTGTTTTATGTACATATATTTAATATTTTACTTTCATTTTGCACTTGGACTAAAACGAATAAACAGAAAAGCATATCGTGTGATAGTTAAATACTAATGATAATATTATCGTGCATTATTTACATAGTCATATTATGTTTTTATAATAATATGATCATAGTATTATGACGTAGTCGTCGTGGACAGTAATTAATAATATAATGTAAAATATTTTTTTATTTACTATACATCCGACCGCGGTGTATTCAGTTGTACGGTTTTTTGTACTTGGGCATGCTGGATATGACGTCCTTCCGTCTCCAGACGTTCCTCGTGGGTGACGGGGACCGGTAAGACGAACATCCGGCCAGCCTCTCGCCCACGTTCGGATCGGGCTCTATCCTCAGCGGATGTCTCGTGGCTTCGGCCGAAGTCTTCCGTTTGGGTTTCTCGTGGCCCGGCGACGGTTCCGACGACTGGCTGACCTTCCTCGGCTTCAGAGCCGCCTGTTTCCGCAGTATGTGTTCGATGTCGGCCGTCTTGGACCGCAGGACCGCGCCGCCTATGTTCGTTATGCTGGAGCATACTTTCACGGGTTCCTGTGAAAAAAAATACACGTCAGTCAGTACACATGTCGGGAGTGAATACTTAAATTAATTAGTTAACTTTGATTGGAATTATAATATTTTACACAAATATATTACAATTATAAATATATAATAATGAAGGTTTTGTAAGCCAGTTTGTACATTAAAAGTGTCAAACACGATTATAAAGAATGATTTGAAGATGATCGGCCTACAATTTATCACTTATTTTTTTTATATGTATATAACATTTGTATTTTAATTTTTATACATTACGTATAATACAATATTATACAATTTACATCACTGGGTATAATATAAAACAGTCTGAATAGTAATGACTAATTATATTAAAAATGTTATTAAGTTTAAAAACCATTTGGTATTTCTAATTTGGTAATATAATTATAAATTACAGCACCAAGTAGCTACCTAGTACTTGGTTGTTACTTGTTACCAGTTAACCTGTAAATTTAAAAACGTTGAATATTTACTATTTAGGCTTGCTTACGTATATGCTATATTTTATAACATCTTTAATTTACTTTTAAATACTGTAAAATAATGTATAAAATAATGTTTAAATCTCATCAAACTTTATAATATTATACATTGTTCTTATATTGAGTTATAATGTTACATAGAGTGTAATATAGAGTGTTAGATGAAATATTTTTTGATATAATCAATATTTAAAATTTTTTTTATATATAGGTATAATTTATAGTCACATGCATTACATGAATAATATAAAAAAATTATTTTTAGTTTTAATATTGAAAATAGTTTTAGAGTTATTTAGTTTTATATGTAGGTACTATAAAAATAATTTGTCCACGATAAAAGATAGGTGTAAAATATATGGAGGTTATGATGATACGAAAATTATAGTAATCACTAATCATTATTTATTATTCATCTAATAACATTTTATAATTTGTATAATCTTCTGAGTATAATAAGTACCTACTAAATTAAGCATTAAGTACACCTATTTTATATTTTTGTAAAACCGTTTTTAAGGACTTGGGTAGTCCTGACTCCTGATTAGTTAGTAGATTCATACATTTTAATAAATCTGATTCTACTCGTCAGAAATTTAATTTAGATACATCGATATTTAAAAAAAATCATTTGCTTCTCATTTTTCTGTAAAATAAGTAAAATACATTTTTATCTCCACAGGAAACTCTTTAAGTAGTATAAAAAGTATTTTAAAATATGGTGCTGTAAAAACTCAAAAATTCAAAATTGAATAAATTCACTACTACACAAAAAAATTTGGTGAATCAACATAATAATATAAACATGAAGGCTGAATATTTTCATAAGAGATACCCCGTCGTATCACATCATTAAGATTTAAATACCTACCTATTATAATAAATGTATAATAAAAAGTAATAAGAAAAAATTATTAAGAAGTTGAGCAAATAATAGCTATTTAGTCATTGAATTAGCACTCGCGGGGAACTAAAATGTATAAATGCCACAGAGTTTCAATACTTACTGGAGATAATGTCGTATCGTCGGGTCCGTGTTTCAACTTATCTTTGTACACAGAAGTCTTAGTTACACCAGTAGAACTAGCACTTTTCGACAGCCTATCTAGACCTGTGCTGGATAATATTTTCTGATAAAATTTTATATCCTTTTCTTTTACTTTTTTTTCTGCTTTATAGTGATCGGAGTCGATATCTTTCGATAAGTCTTTAATGGATTGCATACTCCTTTGGTCAGATTTTGTAGTCTTTCTATGATAATAATCTGCAGTATAATTTGTTGTTCCAGAGACATTATCAGGTGAAGTCGGTGGGCTGGATATGGAACTACTGTCTGAAGATACCGTAGCTAACATACGATGATAATTTGTTGTAGAACCTAAAATTCAACAATCTCAATATTTCACAGTTCCAAAATTTATCAAAAATATTAGATAATTTATATACAACTTATATAAATTAAAAAATATAATACATTAATTGGTAGGGATTTTGAACTGTAGTAGGTAGATAATTATAAATTATAATTTACGTATTGATGATATTGACTTTAAATTAATTTATTACTATCATAGTGTGTACAGTATTAGTATATATTATTATTTTTGATTTTAACAGATGTATATAATAATAATTATAAAAGCGTAAAAATTGATCTTCTAAAAAAATAACATCTTTACCCAATAGATTTTTAATTCTTACAGTTTTGCTTTAAATTAACTATTTTATGTTTTTAATATTTTACGTCAGATATTTAAATTGAATAAAAATAATGTATATATACATCTATACCTAACACATATATTTGTGATGTGAAATAAAATTAGTTTTTAAATGATTAGTTACTCAATTTTAATAGAACAATTTTTTTCATAATTTGATTAATTAAATACAACAATGCATATTATATTATAATATAACAACAATATTAATAACTTACTATTACTTTGTCTGCTCTCGTCTTCAATATATGGTATATCGGTGTCCTCTACATTCAATGGGTATGACGAATTAGGTAGTTGTTTAATAGGCACGGGTATCATTAAACTGGCAGTTATAACGCCGTCATAATCATTTACCTAAATCAAAATCGATAATATTGAAAGTATATTAAAATTTAACTATTCTGAGTGAACAAAAAAGTATCCAATTACCATTTCCTATACTGAATCTGAATGTCTTATTACACCTATATTAGGTATGTATGTGACGAAGAAAATACATATAATTTATTATGTAGGAGCCACTAGGAGGTAGAGGGCTTAAAGTGGGAAAAAATTCAGGGTATGAATGTCTCCACATAATTTTAAGCGTTCCATATATAATTGTATGTATAATGTCTAATGTGTCTGACGTAATGTATAAAAAGTGATTGTGTAAGCATCTCATCCCTTTTTTAACCCTGAATAATATTCAAATTTGTAATTTATTTTGATGTAAAATTTAAATTACAGGTAATACAATATTTTTAAAAGGAACGCTTTTTAACAACCGTCAAAGTTAGGGGTCTGAGATCCCCTGCGTCACCCCCTCTTTAACCACTGGAGGTAGGTATATAATAATGATATGTATAAACAACTTCCCGCTTGACACGATGTTACATATTATGTCGTTTCTAACTTTAAATAAATCATTTAGGTTATTTAGTCATAATTTATTAGTTATTACTCAGGTATTTGAATTGCTTATATAGTTATATATTATATATGCAAAATATGCAGCTAGCAAGCACTATATAATCGGTTAGGTTGAGTTTTTTTTTTATTGAATTTGTATTAAAAAAAAAATAATTATCATTTATCAATTACCGTATCATCTTGCTATAAATTATATCTTTTTAAACATGTTTTTAGTGCAGAATTAATGCTGAAATAGCAGCTTTATAGATGTGTACAAAATCTGTTAGATATTATTGTTATTATGATTTTTCTACGTTACCGTGGTCATTTTCTCTCTTCCATTGGCTATAAAGTTGGCTAGAGTGGCTAGACACAATGTAAAACAAAGGAAAACTTCGGCCAATGGTGGGGGGGCAAAGTTGTTTTGAATACACCCCGTTGTCATTATACCTATATATTATTCAAATGCATTCGCATGATTTCTGAAAGAGGGGGGGATCAAAAAAAAAAACGACATAGCTAATGGGAGGGAAAAATGGTAAAATCCCTCACCCTCTCAAAACTTTTTACTAAGGTAATAAAAAGCCAAAGGGGGATCTGACCCCCATGCCTCCCCTTGTCTACGCCACTGCTCTCTTCTCTATTGAAAAATCGCAATTAAGTTAAAATCATTTAATTTATATTAGCAATAAGCGTAGTATTAACTGAGCTCTGCTCAGAATAATTGTGTTTCGAATGCACTGATTTATCAGTGTTTTCAAATATAATAGGTACTTCAGTAATAGGTACTTTTTATTATCCTGCATCTATGGGAGAGGAATGAAACGAGTGACCGTTGTCGGTAATCTTACCAACTTTTTCATTTAAGCAGACCATAACTAATATATATATATTATTTGTGGATATAAATATACGAAAATCAAAATATTCTAATTTCCATTAGTTTTAATGCAACTTACTTGGTTTCCGTTGGCATGTATTTGATTACTTGACATTTTTTCAGGCTTTTTACTCATTTGCATGCGTTCAAATACTGGGTAAGTAAATGCTTCAACATCATCCGGAAAAAAAGCCGTCACTCCTTTACTCCGGCTTCTTCTGGTTTCTCTTTCTCTAGGCCTAAAATAACGAGTACAATTATTTAAAAATTTACGACATGTTTATACAAAACTATACAAAAACATAGAAATGCAAAAAAAGGTATAGATGTTATTTTTGAAAAATATCAATGGATGAACTGAAATTTTCTTTTTGAAAATGCAGCTTACTTATATCTATAATCTTCATTATCGTCCGATCCCCCTATTCCGGAATTTTGGTGTGTGAATTCTCCTCTTGTCCAAATTTTTTTTTCCTGACTTTCCAAATGTTTTGATGACTCAAATTCTGGAGAAACACTTGTTCCAGTTTTATCTTGTACATTTAACAAAGTTTCTTTTGAATCTTGAGTGGATCCATTTCTAACAATAAAAATAAATGTAAATACTGTACGATTTAATGTCATATCTACCTACATATATTTAACACAAAATTTAAAGACATACATTCCACGGTGTTTTAATGTTTAATATTGTAGTATAAGTTATAATAATAAAAAAATCAGAACTTCACCACTTAAAATAATTCAGTTCACCGTGAAACTTTTGGTCTATTTTTAAATAAATGCTTAGTGTTAGTATTACATGACACATGTTAAATAAAGTTAATTAAAGTAGCAAAGCATATGTTTAAATTCCACTTATTGTGGCATAGCATCATTATTACTTATTGTAATAAAGATTATATTAATGTTTCTGCTAATTACAAAGATGAACAATTATTTTATTTTTTTTTAACTTACGTTAATGCAAAGAATTGTTAGTTATAAAAAATCTTCATGTCTAGTCTGTTATTTTCTTTTAGATTATTACTGTTATTTAACTTTATTTATAAGTTTTATATTATATTAATCTGTAAGTAGGTATATCAAACTTTTAGTGCGTAATAATATAAAGATAACATTTTTATTGTTACACTATATTATTTCAAATTTAACCATGGTAATTTATTAAAATTAGTATGAAAACTGTTTTGCGAAATGTGTGTATTCTGAACAGTGGCACCGAACAGCGTTGCCCAACTTGTTGGATTGAACTGGGTAAATTTGTAGATGTGTAATTACCTACCTATATGTTAGTCTATAGAAACAGAACACAATTTTGTTTATTTATTCATTATTAATCGATAGTTATCCGTATCAGTTATCATTTAAAATAAGTTGTGTGTTTCTCAACTCTTCGGGAATTAGAACTACTAGTAGGTAGTTAAATGGTTAAGGATAAATGGTTTGGTGCCACTGACTGAATATAATAGCTAATTTCCTATAACACAAACTATTAAAAAACAATTGTTAGACTTTAAAATTTGCTCTACTTCACATCTGTTTAATTTTTTCTCAATCATATTTTTTCTCGATCATCAAATTAGATTAGTGCGTGTCAGTATTTATACCTACTCGAAACATAATATACACGTTTAATGAACGCATCAACTAATGAGCAATGTAACTTAATATAAATAAAACATTTTAAAAATAAACAAAAATTAAATTTTACTGTTCAAATTACTTATTTTTTTTTTAGTATCTTAAACAATAACGCACACAACAGTATTAAAATTACTGGATAGTTTTCTCGAGGTTCGAAAATCGTAATCTCATCACATTGTCTAGACCTTCTGGGTTTGTATCAAGCATATGGACGTATACTTCATCGAGGAGGTCAGCTGGTACCTTAAAAAATATTTTATTTAAGTAAATAATGTGTGTCAATAATACGCAATACAGAACCACATTTTTATAGTACGAATTTTTCTTTATAATTAACTTATAAAGTAAAGTTAAATATTTTGAAATGTATAGATGATAATGTCCAATATTACCCGATGACCAACTTGTTGTTTTTTTCTAAATTTCATAACGTATTTTGTATAATTATTTATAATTAAGAGGACGCTACACAGATATTTGTTGTCTCTGCCTTACAAGTGCGTAACATAACAAATTTAAGCTCAGCAGATCACGTTTAGCTCCGTTAGCTTAAAAATTATAAAGCTTTATGTTAAGAGGACGCCACACCCGCATGTGTTGTCTCCGTCTTACAAATGTACAACATAGCAAAAACTCTTTTGCGAGGGACAACTTTTCTCGCACCATATTTGTTGTAGAACTACCAAATTTTCACAGCACTTAAAGAAGAACTTTATCTGTGCAACAGCGTGCTCTTTTTTTCAATAGCACCATCCAATCATTTTTTATAAGCAAATTAAAAAACCGAATGTTTAGAAGCAAATAACTTGTATTGTATATATGTTATAGAAAAAAAGAGCACGCTGTTGCACAGATAAAGTTCTTCTTTAAGTGCTGTGAAAATTTGGTAGTTCTACAACAAATATGGTGCTAGAAAAGTTGTCCCTCGCAAAAGAGTTTTTGCTATGTTGTACATTTGTAAGACGGAGACAACACATGCGGGTGTGGCGTCCTTTTAAGAACATTATCTGTGTTTGTATGTAGATTGTGGGTTATTTACGATAGTTCAATTGTTTATCAAGTTATGTGTATATGTATTATATAGTGTACATTAAGAAAAGTCATAAATCACTTAAAAATGGTACTATCGTAAAAAACCCAAAATATAAGCACAGATACTGTAAGTTCTTATCATCAAGTTTCATAATAGGTCGATTCACTCAAATGTCTAAACTAACGGTGCTAAAAGTGATCTACCGAGCGTAAATTTGATAAGTTACGCACTTGTAAGGCGGAGACAACAAATATCTGTATAGTGTCCTCTTAATAATTATCATAATAAAAAATGATATTAAAAAATGTGTAGCAAAAGAATAACACTTATGATAATATGTGAAATATAATACCTAATTATAATTATTTTATTTTTTCCAAATTGTAATGTTAATAGCCTATTTGTTTACTTAAAGTGAGTAGGTATTGTGTAGTATTGCAAGGCTATCCCTGTTAAGTATTTAAATAAATAAATTATATTTACTATTAATGTAATTTTATTTATTTTGAATTATTTTAAATTAGGTAAGTACCTACTTGTTTCATTATAAAGGTAATATCGAACTTTAAATAGGCATACAATAGTAAAGTAATAGAAAATGTATTTAATAAAATAATTTGGTCATAAATACTAAATTTTTAATATATTTTATTATTTGTATTATTGATTTTATAAAAACGATGATTGTACTTATATTGCAAATTTGAATAAATATTCAATAACCCAGTGATAAAAACTAAAAATGCTACCTATTTATACTATTACATTTTAGAATTGTGGAGAATTTCATAATAAAATATTAAATTTACCTATGCATATTGCATATATTGCAACGTAACAATATAACTTAAGTTAATATTATAATTATTTAACTAATAATATATTTGTTTTAATAGACAGTAGTGTATAGTGTACCTATGTGTCATAACTCATAACTAAATGTATAGACACAATAATATAACGTTATATATACATTTTATACAAAATATTAAAATTCTGCTAATGCTATTTGTAAATTATCATAGAAAATTGGATTAAGTATATTTAAAATATAATATATTATATATATATATTTTTTTATTGATCTTGAAATGTACACAATTAAATTTCCGTTTCAACAACAGGGGCCAATATATTATATATTGTATATTTCACTATACCTTAAATAAATATTCGTAATTTACAATTAGAGCTGTAACTACGTCAATTGCTAATCTTCTTTCCATTGTCATTTCTTCACTTAAATCATTGGAACTAAGTTCTTTAATAGGCTTATGAAGGATGTTTGGTGCAAATAGCGTAGCTAAGTTACTTGCATCCATTTTATTACCTTCTACTAAATGACCTAAAACAAAGTTAATCTTGTTAGAAATAACAAACAATTTTCTTAATTATTATCTAAATCTTTGAATAAAAAATTGGTTTTCAAACCAAATAAATAAGAGCTAAAAATTCTATTAAGGTAATTAAGGCGAACAGTTTTTAAGATTAGGGACATTAAGATATAAGTATAGGTAGGTACGCAGTTTATTGTAAGCATTTTTTTTTTTTTTGTAGCTTGTTGTTTGGTCTAGATCAGGGCTTGCATTTGAAAAAAAAATCCGTTTTATGTTATTTACAATTAAAACGTTACACAATTTATGCGTTTATCATTATTTAGAATTAAAACGTTATCCAACTTTTAAATTTATATCGTTATACAGAATTAAAATGTTATCCAAGTTTTGCGTTAGGTTAGGTTAGGTATTTACGTATTTAAAATAGTGTTAATACCTATCAAATTTAAAAATAATAACTAAAACGGATAGGTAATGGCCCAGATACAGAATGTAATATAATCAATTCTTAGATTCTTAGATTGTTTGCGTGAGATAAATGTTTCTACGAAACCAATAGACCTTTTAAATGAATAAATTTTAAAATATTTCGTTTCGCGTTATTTTTCGTTTCATAATATTCTATAAATTACGTTTTGAGTTATATTTTGTTTAATTATATATAATATACTTTGTTTTGCGGTACCTATTTAATTATTTTTTAGTATCGTTTTCCTTTATAATAATTAATAACGTTTACAAATTTTAATTGTTTTTTGTTAAATATAACGTTATAATCATAACGTTATTATAACGTTTGCAAGCCCTGGTCTAGATCCTAGATGTTTATAAATTCTTACAGTAATTGGTCAATGGTTATCGATAATATTGAATATAAATATTGCATGAAAAGTAAAAACTATTGATTTTAAAATACAACGTTTGGTATACGTTATGTGGGTGAATAATTTTATAGTGTAGCTGCAACAATCCAGTTAATTTCTTCTTGGTTTTTAAAAACGTCGAAATTGAATACATTTTATTGATACTGTTATTATACTTAAATATATTATCTGCTTAAATATTTAAAAAAGTTATAACTTAATTATTATAAGTTTATTATGATAAACATAAATATTATAGTAAAATAAAATTTTAACCAAACTATATATTATATACTTTACTGTAGGTACATAGTTTATTATTGTTTTGGGCATAGGCTATAATTAAAAACAAAAGCATCACTTACCGTTTATATTTTTTGAATCTTCTGAAAATTTTGCCATATTACTCAAAAACATAAGTAGTGCATGGAGTGTATTACGGTTTGCCACAGGTAACAATTGTATAAGATGTTTAATTGCATCCAGTTGCAAATGCCTGTTACGTATTTCTAAAAAAAAAAATGCCAAATAATAATTGTTCGTTAAAATATACATAAGTGTATTTTGTTTATATGAATATACGTACTCTGTGTTTGTATGAAACATTGATAAAGATCGTTACAGAGTAATGCATCGGGTAATGCTCTAAAATATTCTTTTAATAAAGTAGCTACATCGTGTACGTGATCTTCATTTTTTGATAATGTTTCTTCTAACGTTTTCCCGTGATCGAAATCTTCTCGAAGCTTTAAGAACATTTTATAATGAAAATAAAAACAAATTTATCACGAGGACGTCGTACCCGCATCCTCATATTATTGTGTTGTTTCCTTCTTACTGACGCATAACCTACCAAAATATACGATCAGCAGTTCAAATTATTGTGTTTTGTTAGCTTAAATTTACCTATTATGAAATTTAAAGGTAAGAACATTATCTGCTTATTGTTTCGTTGGTTTTCACTATATTTAAATTTTTAAGCTTGTTATAAGCATTTTTACATATTAATATTTTACATACATACTCATAACTTGTTTAAAAAATAAAATATCATAAAAATCCAACACAGAACACATACAGTGCTGTCTTGCCTTAAAGTCTTATAATAGGTCAATCCATTTAATGTATTATGTAGCTAACTACACAACATTAGATTTTACATTTTGGTATATTAGAGCCAGTAAGACGGAGGCAACACATGTGGGTACGACGTCTTCTTAAATATTCAAATTCTGTTTTCACATAGGTAATGAGTAATGACTATTGACTAATAAGTTTGTGAAAATTGTTAAATACGGCCCACAGTCTATACCATCATAATTTTTATAAGTAAAATATACCTGTCTTAAACGTTTTTTCGAACTACTTATCCGGAATACTCCAACTTTGTGAAGCCCATATGTTTCTAAGTAGTTCAGGCATGATGTGACAAAACTAGGAACTCCGTTTTTGTTTGATTTAATGTCACTATCATTATCATCAGATAAAATATCTGAACTAGAACTTGTGAAAGTCTTAATCAACTCACTGACAGGTGTGCTTGATGTAGAGTCACAGGAATGTGATCGCTAGAAAGAAAATATTATGTAATGTGTAAAATACAATAACATCATAATTTAATTTACTAACTCAAGTATAACAATACAAAAGGGATATATTCAAGCCATAATTTTTTTATTTCAAATCAAGTTTAGTTAATTTTACAAATTTACCTCACTAGAATCTTTGGGAACTTCAATGTAACTTGAAAAACTGCTTCTCCCACGTGGGGATTTTGGCACATATTGAGCCTCGGTTGGAACCTTTAAGTGAGATCTTGATGACCGCTCTTGTTCTAAGCAATCGTTTAACGATACTCCAAATATTGTGTGTGGATAAAGACTTTCTAAAAATAAGATATAATATTGATAATAACGTGGATTTTGAAATAAATATTTAACCTTAGGATGCTTACAACACTCACGAAATTTAATTTTTGGTTCTAACGAAATCGAGTTTCGAAAATATGTAATATAATTTTTACTTTATTATAAAAACTACTGCTATGACTATAATAATATGCTGTATACTTGTAACTTTTTTTCTTGGTAGAATAATTTATAGTTTCGATATTTTACTCTCTTGAAAAAAATACATAGGTAACACACATATATTGTTATATTTATTCTATTATTAGTACTTTATGAAAATCAAGTCTTTTTTATTTCATGAGATATTCTTAAATAAATATAGTACATTAGTACCTACTACAATTGAATAGCTAAAACCATAACTAAAAATTGCATTAAAATCAATTTGACTAATTCGAAATGACTAACTATAAATAACATATATGTATTAAATATATAATTTAATATAGGTAACAGTGATTTCATTGTATTTTGTAACTATAAGAATATTATTTAGGTACATAAATAAATGTTATTAAAAAAATTCGAGATAAATTAAATTTAGATACAATTATAATGTTGTATACTTGTATGTAGGTACCTATGTATATATATCTATATAATAAGAATCTAACTTGATTTTGGAGACGAAGGAAACCGGTTTTGAGAGTCTATTACCTAAGCGCTTCCTCTCATAATAATAATAATAATTATATGTATAATTAGATTACCTAATTACCAATTAAAAAATATATTCACCAATAACGATATCTGTTTCTTTTTTTTTCTTTTTTTCTTTACTTTATAATTGACCTATAATAATGTTTCTAATACGCAAGCGCATTCCTTTATTTATTCGATCGATGAGATCGACATCTCCAACTCCAAACCTTCAGTCGATTGTTGTACAGCGTTACTAACAGATCTAATTTTTTTTTCAAGTGTGATTTAAATATATTATTAATTCAATAATAATAATTATTATAATAATAATAATATTCATTATTATGAGTAATAAAAGGTGCATCGTTTTCCATTGTGAAAATCGTTCAAATTGCATTCAGGCAATTTCATCGTATGCAATTCCAAATGGAGGAGAGAGGTATTTAATAACAGCTAATACTTAATAATTGTAATTAATAATTCTATAATGTGTACCCACCTAATGATTTAAATACTTATAGGTTAATACAATGGCTTAATAGTTGCAACAGGACCGATTTATTGGAACGTGAAAACCATATTCGTACGAATAATAAAAACTTTAGAGTGTGTAATTGTCACTTTGAAACCAATATGTTTTTTAATACACAGCGTAAGAGGTTAAGACCAAATGATGAACCCACATTATTTGGTATGTGGTATATATACATTATTAAATAATATATCTGTTTATTATACTTCACCTATGTTTCACTACTATTTATTATTAATTATTATAAATTCATATACTTTAGGTGATATACCTTTCAAGTGGGTAAAATTCCGGTCTGCCTATTTATACAATCCTAAGCATCCATATTATGACGACGATGATGTTTGTATCGGTGTAATGGATGTAATTTGTCAATATTGCAATGCAATGAAATTCAAAGGTAGATTATTAGTGTATATATTTTTAGAATTTTGAAAACTTTTTATATTTTTTTCTTAATTAAAGGAGAATCTGCTGGTATGTGTTGTTCAAATGGAACTGTTCGTATTCCCAATATCGATGAACCACCAGAACCAATGAAAACTCTTTTGGAAAGTTCAACAAATATTTCAAAACACTTTTTAGAAAATATTACTAAATATAACAATGCATTTCATATGACGTCATTTGGAGCAGCAGAAACTATTGTGGAAAATTATATGCCTACATTTAAAATAAGAGGTCAAGTATATCATTTAGCCGGATCGTTGATGCCTTTACCAAATACAAATCATAAATATTTACAAGTTTATTTTATGGATGACGAAGAGGAACAAATTGATGCTCGAATGGGTATTTGCAGTGGATTGAATAAAGGTAATTGTATATTGTATATATTTGTTGTTTAAAACTTTTTAATTTATTTATTTATACATTTAGATATTATAAGAGATTTGCAATTATTGTTACATAATATCAATCCTTTAATTACGAAGTTCAAAACTGCATTGGATCATATGCCCACTGATCAATACTGAATAGTCATAAATGCAAATATGGTTCCTCAAGGTCAACATAGCGGTAGATTTAATGCATCATCTCAAGTAGAAATGGCAGTAGTAATGATTGGAGAAGAATATGGAAATCGCGATATAATTTTATCTAGAAAAGACGAAAAGTTACAACGAATAAGTGAAACTCATAGGTAAATTCCTTTTAAAGTGTATACACTGTGCAATTTTTCTTAATTTTTATTTATGTGTTTTTTGGTCTTATGATTCTCTAGAATATCCACTGATATTTCTACACGGTGAAGATGGTTATGCTATTGATATTTTGTCATTTAATGTTAATTTAAATGAATACAATAGTCATAAAACTGTTTCTTCAAAACAGTTTTATGCTAATAGACTGATGGTGAGGCACCTAATCATATCTACAATCATTTACATAATTATAGAAAACTTATTAATAAATATTGGGTAAGTAAACAATATTTTTTCATCTTAATCAAAAACGTCATGTATAAACATTATAATAATACAAAAAGAATGTAATTTTTTTTAAAGGTTGATATGTATCCCAAAATAGAATCAGAACGGCTTTTATTTATACGGAATAATCAATCAAAATTAATAATTATATTCATTTACATGATGCTATAGAAAATGATGGTCACGTGAATGACTTGGACAACTTTTTATTTTACCTTCTTCATTTACAGGAGGTCTAAGGTAATAAAATGTTTTGTATTTTATAACTTAAAATTGCTACGAAAAATGTACTGTAATATTCATTTTAACAATCTAAAATATTGTACATACTATTAATTATTAAATACATGCACGAAAAAACTATGGATGCCATGACTTACGTTCGTAATTTTGGGACTCCAAATTTGTTCATTACATTTACATGTAATCCAAATTGGATGGAAATAAAAAGAGAACTCAAACATGGTCAAACTACACAAGACAGACACGACATTATCGCTAGAGTTTTTCATCAAAAAATTAAAGTTCTAATGAACTTAATTGTGAAACATCGGATATTTGGTGAAACTCAGTGTTATATGTATACTGTTGAGTGGCAAAAATGTGGTAATAAATGAATAGTATTATTTATTTATTTATTTAAGGTCTTCCTCATGTTCATTTACTGGTATGGTTAGTTGATAAAATTTGACCAAATGATGTCGATGATATTATAATAAGTGCTGAATTACCAAACCCCGATATAGATCCTGAACTATTTGAAATAGTTAAAAAACACATGGTGCATGGCCCATGTGGTTATATGAATCCAAATTCTCCATGTATGGGAGAAAACCAAAAATGTTCAAAGAGGTAATAATACATTTTAATATTCAATATACATATTTAAATCTATTTCATATTAATATAACTATTATAAATTTATATAAATATTTAGTATATTTATAAAATTTCATCATTTGTACTTATATTTTGTATTTGTTTAAGTGTAGGTATTTAGTTATTTTTTAGTGCAAAAGCGCATACGTATGTATTTATTAAACTATTTTAGCAATAATGCAGTTTAAACTTTAAACTTCCTCATATACCTATACTATGCAATTTTTTTAATTATTGTCTTTTTTTTAAATAATAACGATGGTAAAGTTAAATTTTATTGATAGGACTTTCCGTGTAAGTTATGAGTAAAAACTTAATTTTCAAGTTATAAGGTAGATATATTCAAGTGCCATATGTAGTTACCTACTTAAGGTGGTTTTGCGTAATAAATCGTAATTAGTTTAAGATTAACATTATTTTGCATTTTTATTCTATACATAGGTATGCTAAGAAAAGCATATTTAATAAAAAAATTTCATTTGTTCTATTAGGTATCCGAAAGCATTTACTAACATGTTAGTACATGCAGTACTATTACTGAAGATGATGGATATCCTTTATACAGACGAAGGGATTTTGGAAGTGGTGGATTTAAATCAACTGTATTACGAAATTCAACATTGGTAGAAATTGATAACAGATTTATTGTTCCATACAATCCATTACCATTGAAAACATTTAATGCTCATATTAATGTTGAATGCTGTCATTCAGTAAAATCAATTAAATACATTTGTAAATATATTAATAAAGGGTCTGATCAAGCCTTAAGAATTTTTCAACAATCTTACTAGAATTTTATGAATTGAAATATGAATATGAAAAATTCAGTAATTTTAATTGAAACTTTGACTGGTTGCCATTTAGTCAGTTTTGATTTTAGAGCTATGGTAAAAAGGACCAAATCGACTTAAAAAAATTCGGTCTATCCGAATTTGGTATTCAAAACACCTGTAGCCATTTAAAAAAATGCAAGTTGTATTGCGCATGCGCACACGGAAAGATCTAAAAATGTAAAAATCATCAAGAAATGTGTATTTATGTATTCCCTATCCCCTCCCGAAAACCGCATATTAATCCGATGTCACTGGACAGAATTATTTAGTGTTACCTTTAAAAGGAATCACACTGTATTTGTTATTGTTATTATGATTATTAACTATTTATTGATTTGTTTGCACTTGCATTTTTCCATTTGAAATATATATATTATACATTGAACAAATAATTTATTGTTACATTTTTCCTACCTTATCTCTATTCTATAATAAAAAGAATAAAATTTACCACTCCAGTGGTTGAATTCTAAATGTAGGAAATATAATTTTCAGAAATTACTAATAATAATAACTACAATATGAAATTATATTATATTGTTTGTATAGCCAAAAAATAGTCATGTTTTTAAATTAAATTTTAAAAAAATAATTCCTTCCGGAGGAAGATCGGGCAGCTAGTATATATATATATATATGGTATTTAAAATCACCGGTCTTAAAATGACACAATTATTTAAAAATTAAGTTGTTTATTCATGAAATTAATAAATATTATTTTTACCATAGTACTATAGAAAACTTCAGAATTTATTAGTTTTAATTAAAAATAATAATTAACTTGTAACCTGCGTAGGTATTACCCTATTACGTTTTGTGATAAATTAACAAAATTGTGGAATCACATTTTATTGTTAACACCTACTTCAAAATTGCATACAAACAATTTGCTTCAAATGGTCAATCTTCAAAACTAAAATTAAAATTGTAAATGTAATTTGATAAAATAAAAGTCTAAGTAAAGTTAATCAGAGACTACATTATTGATAGAAATAAAAATATGTATAACAATATTATTATTGTATCTGAAATAGTAAAATGGCGATACATTTTTTTCACCACTTAAGAGTCTATAATATTATGGTGTTTCAGAACTATATTTAATATTATTTAGGTAGATTGTAGATTAATATAAACAATCATTTTCTAAATGTTGATATAAAATGGTATAATTTTGATTTAAAAAATACTCTGATTATATTTAAGTGGTTTCTATAGTATTTATTTCTTATTTAATAAAATATTTTGTTTTTATTTATATATTTGAAACATTTTACCTATTGCTATAATTATATGTTCAATGAAAATAACGATATTTGAAGATATAAATTAAAAAAAAACTCTAAAAATAGATCCGTGCTAAAGTGCAAATTATTTATTTATAATTTAGTGGTAAATATCAATTTAGGAGAGAACAGAAAATATATAAATACATATAATTATATATACACCGTACAACAGCCAACTTTTAATTATTTAACACCTCATTAAATATTATCATAATTATGTTCATAAAAATTTGATTTTAAAAACGTTCTTCAGGACTTGTGTGAATCTTTAGCCGTGAACAATGTTAAAAAATTAAATTGAGAACTTTTTATTTTTGTTTACAAACATAAAATCTTAAAAAGTATTTATACATTGTGTACAAATCGTGTATATAAAACAAAACGATTAAAAAATAATAATTTTAATGTACGTTCTACACAACACATGTGTAAACATTAAAAAAAAAATTAACTATTATTTTTCCAATTAAAAGATATTATAATGATTTATATATTATTATAATATTATATTAACAAAAAAATTGTAATTTATATATTTTTGATTATTAGTTTTTAATTTATTTTACATAATATAGAAAAGAAAATATAGCAAAGAAAACATATTATATTTAATACGGCAGTATCGCAGAACAAATAACCTGGCAGTATCCAAATGTTTTGAAATTGTCCACACATTATAGTCTGATCCCTAATGACTTTTCTTTAGTCTAAGCATGTCAATACATAAGTCAAAACGTCAAAATAGTCAAATCTGACTGGCGCACGTCATTTTTTCCCCATATAATATAACTAAAACCGTTTTTTTTCTTATGCTTAAGACTTCAAGCTATAGCAATTGGGAGCTGTTTGTTTGTTTCTGCTTCCTATAGTTTTTTTTTTTAATGGTTAGAAATTGAACTGAAGTGGTAACTAAATAGTCAAATGTACTGTGTCACATTGATTGTGTTCCTCACATAATATATTGACGATTGTACCTAATCTATCAGAATTCTATCTATACCATTAGGGCCAGTAATATGGAAATCGGTTTTGAACAAAATGTTATTTCGTGTTTAAGTTTTATATTGTTGTTTTAAAATAACATCAAAAACTATTATATATTTTGATTGCTAAAAAATGAAGAATCAGTATTCTAATATCTCAAGGAATCCATCTAATATTAAAAATATAATTTGATTAGATTTTTGAAAATTAGATTTTACAGTACTTTTTCATTTAAAACATTGAAATATGTAATATCGTTTATAAAAATTAAAATATTTCAATAAGAAAAAAAAATAATATTGTTATTTGTAGCAAAATGAAAGAAAAAATCCCATAATTTGTCTTATGTTTATAATGTAACTTAACCCCCCAAACATAAAAAATATAAAACAAATGTCATTAAATATATTACTACTGTTAACTGTTGGTATAATAAATTAATATTACGGTGTATAGCATCATATTAAAATGTATAGGAAACGATGACCACACAAGCACGCTAACGACATTATACACACCACAGACAAAAATAAAATGATGTAGAATAAAAAAAATAGTTTATTAATAGGTATAATCACTAGCAGAAAAACAAACAAAATAAAATAACAACGGCAATGATATAGTATTTGTCGAGCAGTATACACTAATACATATTATGTTCAACTTATAGTGTTCGTAGGAATTATTACGATTTACGAAAACAACAAAAATAATATAAAATACTGTATGGTTTTCTACAACAATATTTGCCCTCTAATACAAGTAATAAATTGTGGTGCTTTGCATAAAAATGTTTGAATGTCGTGAAAACATTAACGAAATGATTAAATGAATTTGTGCTTTATAATTATAAACACCTAAAGTTGATAACATTACTTATAAATAGTTTTGTTTTCAATGTATTGATCTATAATTATTTGATAGATTAATCATAAAGTAATATGTCGATAGGCGTATGCCTATTTATAATATTAATATATTAGATATTATTTCGATGTATAGGTAATACTATTAATTTTAAGTATTAAAATATTCTATTGGATTTGGTTATAAAGTTTAATCCAGTAAATATATAATTATAGAAATATTAAGTCAATTTATTAAACTAGGCAACTATTATTGAAACAAGAAACATGAGTACTTTTCCGTCTTTTTATGATTGAATCATTTATAATAAAATATGTAAATTAGTGGTATCTACTTACTACTTACATAATTGTGTGTAACTATAATAATTGTTTTATAATTAATTGAGACTTAATATAAATAATATGAAAATATCATATTTAAGTGAACAAGCTATAATAAGGAAATCACCTTAAAGATTATATAATTAATTATACTTCTGCTTTAAATAAAAATAAATGATACTTTAAAATTCTTTTATTATGTTTGTTATGATTGTTATTTGTTGCATATTTTTTAGTTGTATAACTGCGCGGGTGGGCGTTTGGAGATGTTCAGATGTCATAAATCATTTTGATGTTCATACAATTTGGGATCGTTTAAGAACATATACAAACACACTTAAGTATACAACGATGATTACTTACTTGCATGTAAAAATAATTTCTGACGTAAAATAAGTTTTATTTTTTTATTTTTTAACGTTAGTATTTTAAAAGGTAACAACAATTAGTTACCTACCTAATAACATATTAGATACTATTGGCGGTAAGCAAATTGTAGTTGAATATAAGTACAGATTTTATTTTCAAAAATATTTCAATGTGCTATATTTTAATATATTGGTTATAGAATAATTAGGGTAGGTATATAGTTGTAGGTACACGGCGTTCCATTTAACGTAAGACACTAATTATTTCAAGAAATACTAACGTTTTTGAAAATATTTCTTTCACATAAATAATTGTAGGTCGTTAGAAAAATGTTTAAATTTTTTTTTTAAGTTTTAACTATTTTGAATGATACATATATTTTTAATTTCATATAACAAAACATAATATTATTCTAATAATTAGATACGAAAAATTATTCTGAGCGGTTACATTGTGTCATCCTATAGCATACTTGTCGAAATAATCAAATTTAATAATTAAAAAAAAAATAGTAAAAGTAAAAAATATCTCATGGCTATAACATTTTCCATGCAATGCCTGTACTTTCCAATAAACTTTTTTTTTTGTTAAGGGTAGAATAATTTGTGGAGAATCTTCTATTATTAAACTTCTTGTCTGTTAGCTATGAAAAGAAAAACTTTTTACTATACCTAGGTCATTGACCATTGTAATGGATGACGTGTTAAATTTGAATTCAATGATTAATCATTGCATAGAAAAACGATTCTAATCAGAGAGTCCTCAACTATTTCTAAGTAGGTATATTTTATAATTTATTTAAATTAGTTAATTTATTTTTCTATTAGTTAGGTAGATCTAATTTTTTTCAAAAACATCGAATAATATGTTACATAATTATTAATAATTTATTATATGACAGGTATTGTATGTAGGTAATCAATTTCCAACTCCGTGGTTAGTATAACTATACCACTTACTATGAACGGCTTGAATTTTTAATTTAATTTTTGTTTAAATGTTTTGTAAATTCAAATATCTGTTGAAAATAATGATAGGTATATATTATGGTGAAAAGTTTCAAGTCCATACGGTTAATATTTTTCAAATTATAACAAAAACAGTAAAATTTTTATTTTTTGTCAAAATAAAAGCATCAGATAATCATATGTCTATAAAAAAAAATTGTGCGTATGTATTTTCTATATTATTATTAGATGGCTGTATGAAAATCTTACAATGAAGAACATGGTATTACATTTTATACCCTATTATTGTTTATTAAAACTGAATATTTTATGAATTTTTAACTACAAAAATATTTGAACATTTTCGAATTTTTTACGAATTTTGAACTTTAAACGCTTATAAAATTATTTGTGACTATGTATTATTGTTTTGTATTAATTTCTTGATGATACTCTATGAGGAACTTTGCATACATTTTCAAACTTTAAAGTAAATGAAAAAAAATTATTGACAATTATTAACATAAATTAAAAAAACTTGAAAATTTCAAATTTCTCGCGATAGCTCAACAAAAGCCAAACTATGTAAAATAATTTAGTAGGTAGATAATAATTATTGCAAAAATTTAGTAATTTGGTAAAAATGTATACCGTGACATATAATAACCCGGGAATCAACTAATACATAAGGTAGGTCTCGGGAATCAACTCACCTACTGCGATATTAATAACATCATATTTGATAACAATTCAAAGATTAAAAAAAACTGTAAGCATAGGTAATTATAAGGTATAGGTAGGTACTTGCCTTAAATGAAAATTAATTTGATATGCACAAATTCGTATACAACTAAGTACATAATATTTCTGTTATCACGTCTTATCCGTAGTTCATAATCATGTTAAATTTATTACATTTATTTTGAGTGTGAATATTTTCATTGTCATGGTTATATTGTTTTTTTTTGTAAATAACGTAAACTAGGCCGTGATGAAATTTTTAAAAATAAACAACCTAGATTTTCGTAAGATTTTTATGCTCTCCTGGATACAAAACCGTGGGATTGACAGAAGTCCGAAGGAACGTCACAGTATGCACAAGTGTACATAATGTAATGACGATTTAATATCTTGTCACAACCTATGCCAAAAAAATAGAGTTAAATTTAACTTATTTGCCTGAAAAAACACCCAGACTACGCGTGGATTTCACTGTATATATAACAAATACATTTTTTTTCAAACGTTTTTCTATTTTATTACCATCTTTGACTAAACTTCTCTGAGATATTGAGTTTTACAAAAAGAATAAACTATTATTTATTTTCCTAGTTTTGAAAAATAATCTTTAAATTAATGACGACAAACGCAATTATGCACTACCTACTTGACGCGGCTTAATTATTCTAGTCACTTGTGTAATTATTTTTATTAGGCAGCCTATTATAATAATATTACTCGGGAGTTGCATATTTCATGTTTTATGCTTTATGGCAAATTTAATTACTAATCATTTTACGGCTATCTATAATATTGGATTAATTGTCATTTGAATATATTTGGTTGACAAAAATATAAAACAAGTTTCTAAGTACAATTAAATTAATAAATTTTATTTTACTCAGTATATTTACTTTTGAAATTAATATAGCCTCTGTGGGTATTCTAGAAACGTATAAAATTTATTACGGAGTAGTTTTCGTGCTGTCGGGTCAACGTTTTCTGTATTGGTCACCTCAACTTGCAGTACACAATATTTTAATAGTTGGAGTAAATTAGTTATTAATAACAAGGACAATTGACCTTGGCCTCGGTTTATTCGGCAGACTATTAGGTTTAGACAATTTAGATCGTTTAATTTTTATAATAGAATATTTATTAACAATTCTTGGTCCACGCCTGGACAGAATGACCCCATCATAGTACAGAGTACCTACGTATATTAGAACTACAATAATATTATTATTATTCTTGGTCAAATAAATGATACGTGGGTCGCCAAACGGAAATTAAATTAATGGCCACGTGATGACGATTGCGTCCGATGCATGGATTATATTGTGCATATTTTGTGCCATATTTTGATTTAAACTCAAGCCTATACAGTGCGCACACAAATACGTCACATAAGTTATTAAGTATTATAATATTTAATAGGTTTTTTTTTCACTTATGTGATTTTTTTTCAAAGAGTAATGACCTAATCAATTTCCCCTTTACGTTCTTCAAAAATAAATCTATCCTTGGCTACAAAATATCATTAAACGGCCATGAAAGTATTTTTGTTTAAAATTTAAATGCAACAAATCGTATTCAAAACATGATTCTTAGTGGAGTGTTATTCAATACTAAGCAATAGGTATCCAGATAAAATTAATTAATCTCAATATAATTAAAAAGCTAAAAGAAAATATACTTAAATGGAATTAGAATAAATACGTTGTTAAAATATATTGATATAAACTTTTATTATGGTTCAATTTCAAGGGGTTCGAAATCCAATTTAGATTTTATACGTGTTTAAGAAAATAATCAGAAGACAATAGGACAATAGGTACATGTTTTTTTTTAATTAAAAAAATCTATATATAACTTTAAAAAATGATCATAGTTTTCAGGAATATCATGTTTATAAAATTATTTTTGATAACTTTATAAGAGGGTACTACACTGCGACATAAAATTACAGTATTTTTTATTTATTGTTTTAATGTTATAATATATTATGTACTATACAGCTCATGTTTGCAATTCCAAGAAATATACTCCAAAATTGATTTCAGACGAAAAATACATCGTATAATAATAACATTAAAAACATTTAAAATTTTTTTTTATGTCCAACAGTCAGTATATTTTTGTCAACTTAATAAATTAGCTCAATAAACGTTTTTGAACATTTCCTTTTTTTTAAACTCTGTTGATTGTTTAATAATACTATATCAAGGTTATCTAGACGGTCAGCCATGACGGGTTTTGTTTTCTTTCATTTTTCTTTCATTTTTATATTATGTTTTTTTTTATCTTAGATCAAAATATTTAAATGATTATTTTTGGAATAACAAACGTAAGGATATAAAAAGATACTAATACAAGTGTAACATACTCTATAATAGTATCTACTTTTGTATTGCATACCTAAACAAATTTTGCCAAATTCGTGTTGTTCGGTGAATAAGCTTAACAAATTACATAGGTTTACACAATAGAATTTAATTTGTCAATATTGTTTCAAATGTAGGTACTCGTTTATGGTTTATCATAAATCATATTTAATAATATAATAATATTGTCTTGGACTGAAGTGATTATATACTGACTTTATTTACTGTTCCTGCATTTTTTTAATTTTTAAAACTGTAATAGTTTTTAAATATATTTATCTATTTCATTTATTTCAAAGTTAATATAAACATTGTAGAGTTTTTCTTTATAGTTTGTTACTAAAGATTTTTTTAATGTTATGTATAGGCTCAAAAGTCGTTTTTGATAATCTACAGAATACATTTGGTGGAGTTATGAAGAACAGTTTAACTTAGATAGGTATAGACGTAATATTAAATATTGCATAGGTAGTAAATATACAAAGATATATTTAGTAGGTGCCAAGAAGTAATTTAGATAAAATAATTGTCGATAGGTACTTAATAAATAATTTATGAACAGTTTGCAGTTGTAGTAATAAGAGTATTTAAGTAATTTGAATTTAAGTACCTATATATATATACACAGGTATATATTTTGAACAAAATATGTTGTGTGGTAAAAATTACAATTAGCCATCTTGGTAAAAGTTCAAATAAGGTCATCGTGAATAATTAATAATTGTGTATAATTTCGAGCAAATAGTGATAGGTTAATATTGATACTTTCTGGATAATTTAGAATGTGACGGTTTTTTAGTTTAGCTGCTGCTAAAATTTAATGAAATTATGCTTAGGTACCTATGTATGAGTATTATACATAAATTTAAAAATTTTAACAAACTACATAATATTACTATGTATAATAGTAACTATTATAGCTAATAACTGTTATTAGTAGCGTACGCGGGATTTTCATTTGGAATGGATTTCTATCAGACTTGTCACAAAAAATCTATATGTTCATCTGGCTTTTAACCAAAAAGAATAGGTTACATGAAATATATAGAGTATGGGCAGTGGCGGTGGTGATAAAATGCACTATTCTGTGTGTATGTCACAGAAAACTATGTTAAATCCTTATCATCTTCTCAATTTTTAATGTTTATAGGGAGGTGATACCTACTTTAAAAGTATAAATACGAAAATATATTTATAAATCTTACCGTTATCATCCTTATCTTTCAAGTTGCCGGTGGTATTTGCTCTTCTTTTCAGAAGATATGGCCTTCGCTTTTTAGGACCAGCTGATAAAACATTTCCTGTAAACAAACCAAATGTAAAGTGTAAACTACCTTTGCGTTCAAATATTCAACGAATATTAATTTTAAATAAAATGTGTCAATGTATTTTAACACTGGGCGTATATTATATTATGCAATCAATGTACAATCATGAGACAATTTAATAGAATACAAAAAAATAAATTAAGTAAGATCGAAAACGACAATGGTTTTAGATAATACGAAGAAGCTATAAATTGTACAGAAAAATCCACATTGACACTTATTTAGTGAATACAGAACATAATGATATAAATTTTGTTTTGGATATGGACTTCTGCCAAATAAAAAGTAAACAATTTTTTTCGTTTCTGAAATTTTAGTCTTTGAATACCTATTTATTATTGAAATATTTCATAATTCATATTGCTAACCCAGTGTGTGTAGATCAGAAAGCATAATATTAAAATATTTTAAGTAGTAAAATCTTTTATAAATACATTCTTATTATAAGTAACAGTTTTGGCAGTTAAATAATAATTTTAAATATAATTTTTATTAATGTTAAATTTTTTTTTTTAGTAAAATTCAATAAAATATTTAATTATTATTATTAGGAACAATAATAATTAAATATTATTTAATAATGTATTACAAATTGTAAATCAAGAAACTAACATAAATTTATATGTTTAACATTTAACATGCGATATATAAAATGACATGAAGTGTTTCATATAGTAAAATCTGTAACTCATTATTCATTATTCACTAAATTGAAATAATTTTAGATTTTTAGTGAAGCTAAGAATATATTATTGCTTTTACAATGATGATGTTATTTTTCTAAATGTTAACACATTTTATGTTTTTTTTATGTATAAGCAAAAAACAAAAATATTGAAAAAATATCCAGCAATTGCAATTTCAACAGTATGACTCCATGCTACTTTTAATGGAATTAAGTATGTGTTTGTGCTATTACTCATCTATACATTGGCCCACCTAAATATTAACATCGTTTAGCTCTGAAGGCTATTTTAGTTTTGTTTAGAAAACATGAAAAAGAAAATTTGATTTTGACTTTTTGTTCAATAGAATAAAACTATACATTGTGGCTCTATATTCAGTACCAAATAATTTTTTAAAAAATTGTTGTTCAAAAGTATAAGTTGGAAAAAAAATGTACAGACAGAAACACCCACGGTATGAGTGTGACACTTGTCTATTAAACCTAATATTTTTTTTTTTTATTATGTTTTTGTATCTTTACAATCTAAACGTTTTAAAATGAAAACTATTAAATAAATTATCATATAAATATTATGTATAGATACTTAATTATGTATATATCTTTAAACATACCTAAATACTAATTTTTATTTTTTTCAAATGATTAAGATGGTTATAATTACCTGTTGGTATTCGTACTGGAACTCCAAGACTTATTTCCTGAAGTTTATTTAGGGACACAAGCGATAGTATTTCTTTTTCAAGATCGGTTAAGTCCAGTAGACATAAATCCTATAAATAATTACATTTTTATTTTAATAATTGTAATAGTCAATGTAAAAATAGAATAGCTTTCATATTTACCTTTAACAGAATTGATTTTCCACTAGCGTGTAGCCATAAACAATTACCCTAAAAATTGTGTCCGATAAGTGATTATTATTATTATTATTATTATATATATTAATTAATATATTATATATTCATTTTATATTGGATATTTGTAGTTAACATATTTAATGTTAAATATAAATTTCATACTATCTAAAAAATTACATTCTGAATGACACTTTAACTGTGGAAAACCATATAATTTAGGGTGTGAGTTAGCTTAGGTACTAATAATGTGGTTCTATAGTTGGCACCACACGGTTTCAATCGAGAAAATAACATCTTTGTAACAGCATTTAACATATAGAATTACTTTAACTCAAACAAGTAGCTACTAAATATTGTTAAAGATATTTTGTAGTACCTACCTACCTAAATATAGTATGCTATAAGTGTGTGCTTCACCAACATGGTTAGGTCTATGTTGAGATATTATATTAACATTTTTACATTTATTTAAGTTTAAACTTAAATTTAATTAATTTAATATTCTAATTATTAATTCAAGATTCATTACAATATTTAGCTTATGTTCTAATTTATTTACTTTTTTATACTTATTGCCGGTAATGATTTAAGGACATCAAGTTGTAACTCTTTAAATTATTTTACAATGCTTAGCCAATTATAAATATTGCCAAAAACATGTTACAGCTCTTGAGATAGTATAATATTCACCTAGACAGTTTATACGAAACATCTAATTAGTATTATTCGAGTATATTGTTTGTCAAATTTTTTTCAAGACGAGAGGGGGTCAAAATTAACCTATGAGTGATTTGTGCCAAGAATAATATTAACTTTGGCTAAAGAAACTTCCTACTTGATTTAAAAAAATGTTTTTAACTAAATTTTTTTATAATCAAGTACCTATAGTGAATATTTTTATTTTGCAATATTTGAATGATTTAGATTACCAGTAATACATTTTAAAAATCCCCAGTCTTTAGAAAAAATGCGATTTAGATTTGTTTTAAATCATTGCTATCTATAAAATAAACACTTAACATTGAATAACCCGAATACATGTAGGTAGGTACATACTTTTATATTTGACATATCGTTTCGTTAGTTTCACCGTTTCCGTGTATAAATGCACATTATTATGGTTATATTATTATGGGTATTGATGGTTACATTTTTTTCTATATAATTAAAATGTCAAAGTATTTCACAATTGCACGGTGTGCCGCATTAAAATTGTGTACAAATTAGTAGTGAAGAATAAATCAATTGTTAGTAATAATTACGGGTAGGTACGTAATAAACACTTGTGATTTGTCTATTAACTTTAAATATTTATTTTGAAAACATGAATTTTTTGCCGTCTTATATATTAAGACTGCAAGATTGCAAAAGTCTAATGTTCAACTAACCATACCAATATTTTAACTTAACTTATTAATATCGTTCAGATTAGAAAGCTAAATATCTTTTTATCAAAATACCTATATAATTATCGTAAAATATAAAAAAAAACTCAATAGAAATGGGTATACCGAGTATTTCCTAGAATTATTGTTCAAATGCGATTTGAGTTCCTGTTGACTTTAATTATCGATCTAGTTATGATTTAGTTATATCTTAAGGTTGTAAAATCCACAATGTAGATTAGAGCAATGTTTCTCAACCTTTTTACTATTCGGCGACACCCTTTTTGAATTTCAATTTTTTATCGACCCCCCCCCCCCTACATATAAATCTCTATCTGGTCGCTATAACTTAACTACATCGGAATGATGATAATATCTATTAGATAAAAAAGAGTGAATCGTGTACGATATTAAGAATGAATCTCGAAACTGGTGGTGCGATTTTATATACGTGACTATTTCACTTTCCTATCATGCGAAGTTTTGTACTGTCAAGTATCAACATAATATTGTTACATATTCATTTAATTGTTATAGGGCTCGATGTCATCGACTTTTTAATTATTTTTTTGGAACGTCTTGGACGAAAGGTTTTCCTAGTTGAAAATATGTTTCGATAATATAAAAATCAAAATAAATAATTTTTATGTTGTATTTTTCGACAAGTTAAGGTAATTTTGTAATGAACTTACAATAAAAATAAATTTCAAAATTTCAAAATCAAATAATATGAATTACCTAATACGTTTGAAAACTATTCCAGTGACAAAATATTTGTATATTTTAAATATTAGGTAAAAACGTTTTTCATAAAAAGAGATTCATACTATTATTATTTTATTTGGTTATTTGATAGGTACCTATTTAATTTTATAAATAATATCAAATATTTAATATATTATAGGTATATTCGTATAGATATATTTATAATTAATAAAATGTATAAAACTATTTATCTCGATATTTATATAACTTTAAAAATCTCCTTTTTTGTGGATACAATTTTCAGGTTATATTTGTATTTTTTAGGTACCTAATTATTTATTGTCTTTGAGGTCCCAAACTTCTGAGCCTTATATCTAAATCAATTTAAACGGTAAACTTTCCTCATGGTATTATCTATCGCACAGTGGTCACTTGCTTAGTTAATACGTAGTACTGTAGTCTGTAATAAGCTAACACTGCTTAAGGAACCAAATTTCGTTATGTATTCTCGATTGTCTAGGTAGGTAAATAGGTAAGTAACATTTGACATTCGTCGTATAAGGGATAAAAAAATTCGATTCCTGGTAGGTGGTTTGATATCCAACAACCGTATCAACTGTATCAATTACTAATATCAGAGTTGCTCAATTTGTTTGCGTTATTATTTTATCCCAATTTCATGTTTGGTGATTATTTTATGGAGGTACTTTTTTTCACCAAACATATTGTATTTTCACAGAAAATCAGAAGACATTTCCAGTTGTAATCACAACAAGAAAGTGGTACAAAATACTATTATCATCTAAGTTCTAACTGAAAACCGTTATTGTACTATGTATTCGATAATAATATGTTCATTTAAAATTCACTATCGATTGTTAGGAATTGAAATTGTGTAGAATATTATGACTAGCATAATATGATAAAATACTATCGTTATATAATTATGATGATTGTGTGTGTCAGTGTCTTGGGGACCTTAAAGTCAAATATAAAATGGGCCCCCTAAAAAAATTTAAACAATTAAACAATTAAATGTACACGATATACCGCTTCTTCCCCACCCATTAGGTAATCAAAACCTTTCCATCGTTAATTATAATATTAGGTATGTATAATAAATATATAAAAGCGAAATGGAAATCTTTGTTAAAGGGTTGGCTCCGAAAATGCATGACCGATTTGGTTGATTCTTTTTTTGACGTGTTCGTAATTAAGAAAGGTTAATATGAAAGAACATTTTAGGAAAATCCACCGGAAAAGTAGAAAACTAGGATAGCAGAAATACAACAGTGGCATCATCTGTCCAGCAAAAAAAATTAACTATATATGTTACTATATAAACTACAACTCTTGATAGTTTATAAAACACATAATATTATGATCTAATGTAATTCAGATGTGTCAATCTTAATATATATAAATCTCGTGTCACAATGTTTGTCCTCAATGGACTCCTAAACCACTTAACCGATTTTGATGAAATTTTTTACACCGCGTGTAATTTGGTCAAACTTAAAAGATAGGCTAATTTAAAAAGGGAGAGGACCAACCCCGGGAGGTGCTCAAACGGGAATTTTGAGATTTCCGATGGACATTTTTGTTTATAAATGGTTGCCATGGGTTTTTAAGCTATTACAATAATAAAAATAAAAAAAAAAAAACTATTTGCTTTACTTTTTAAATATAAATTGTAATCTAATATCTAACTATAAAAATGTGAAATGAAAATCTCTGTACTACTTATCTCTGGAGCTCCTTTTAGATCTTCTTGATTTTTTTTTAAGCGAAAGAGTATTTCATGGATAAGGTTTGTATGAAAAAAAAAATGTTAGGAAAATCCACCGGTGTATAATATATTGGTTGCTATTGGTTAATCGGGCATGTTCTTGATTTGTATCATTATTTTTTGTCAATATACATATATATATATATATATAATAAATACAAAAAGATCTGATAAGTAGTTCCAGAGTCTGTATACTTATAGTCCGTGTATTTATATAGTTATATATATATATATATTAATGTTTGTGGGTAGATTAGACGTCTGGGAAGAAGATAGGTTAATTTACTAAGGGTTAAATTTGTTTTTTTTTTTCATCGGATATTAGTACGGTTAGGTTAGGATAGGATTTTGTATAAAATGATTATAATAATCCATCTTAGGCGAAATTAAGTAAAAACGATAAACTTGGTATAGTTAACTTACTAGTTGCGCATTATGTAAGTTTTACATTTAAGAGGTCAGAGTATAAAAGTCAAAAAATCAAAAAAATTAGTCTGTTATTTGTATTCTATAGTACCTTAAGATAGTTATCACTTATCAGCGGTGTTCCAATTTGAACTACGATAATCATAATAAACTAGATTAGCTATGGGATATGGGTCCAGTGCTAGTGCCAGTCTGGTACCTAAGTACCTAACCCGTAACCATTGCAGACTTGATATATATCTATATCATGTGCATTGTGCATGCAATTGCCTATATTATAATAATATAATATCCTTAACACAATTGGCAAACTTAAAAATTGTCATCAATTCAAAGCCCGACAGCAAAATTCCGATTTAATAGTAGTTTGACGTCAAAAAAATACATAAATTAAAAAAATAAATAAATCACACTAAACCGTAATTATTATCAATTTTTTACCAAGTATTTATTTCATATATCATATTGCAAGTATGTATATACTCTATGTACTATATAGCTATACACAATTGAATAATAAGAGGTAGGTCAAAAATGGTTAGGTTATATATTATATTATAAATTTATAAATAAGTAATAACTAGGGCTGTGCATTTAATGCACCAAAACACCATGAATATGTACAGTTATACTCTCAAATTACGATTTAAAAAAATTATATGTTCTTTAAGAATGTCATGCTCAACAATATTTATGTATATGTTAACCGTAATGTGTATAATATTGGTATTTTTTAAAATGCCTAGGAATTCTATATAATACCTGTTGATTTTTAAAGAAGTGTAGAATATATTTTTTTTTACATACATTTCCTAAGTATTTTGAATAATACCTAGGCATTTTATAAAATGACATTGAAAAAATTAGCAATATGCAGAATAGGGAAATTCGTACCTAATCAGTAAGAAAATCCATTTCCTCTTATCAAAATAAGTGATAATACTACCAATAACAATAAATTTTATTAGTATATAAGAAAATATTTATTACAAGGTACCTACCAATTTAATATTACAGAATATAATGAGTTTATAAATATGAAAAAAAAAAAAATATTTAGTACCTAGTACACAGTTATTACTTATTAATTATTATCAAGCCTGGGCAAGTTAATGTACATTTTTAATTGAGTTAAGTTAAGTTGATAGAAAACATATCAAAAAGTTAATAGTTATCCTAATTTTTATTTTAACTCATTTAAGTTAAAAGTTATAAGGAAAATAACTATTAACTTATTAACTTAAGTTAAGTTATTTATTTTTTATTTTTTAATAAATAAATAATAAGTAATATGGTTTAAAAATAATAAAAAGGAAATGTTTATGCAATATGGATCATTAGCAATAATTGTATTATATTTATTATTTAATTATTTATAAATTAATTTAACTTGGATCTGATTAAAAGTATCTCGTTATTTATTAAGTTTATATCAATAAAAATCAGTTAAGTTAAAAATTAATTTAATAAAAATTTAATTAAAAAAGTTAAGTTTAAAAGTTAAAATGAACTTAACTTTAACTTTTTAACTTGTTTATGCCAGGCTTTATTATTACTACTGTTATATTATTTTGGAAAATTCAAAAATGTATGTAGAACGTAGGTACTTATTATAAAGAAAAATTACAATACACTTTTATAAATTTATTTTAAATTTTGTTTAGAAAAAATTATGTTATTAAAAATATTCGATTATTACAAAAATTATATATATATATATATATTTAATAAGTTTAGGTTAACAAATAATAATTAAATTAATTTATTACAACACTTTAAATTAGGATGACATATTGAATTGCAATGCAATTTTTTTTTAAACCCTAACTTTGGTTTTTTTGACATCTTGTTGAACATGGTCAATGTTCATTTAATAAAGCCTTGTCCAGATCCAGTTTCTTTTTACTAATGGATTTATATTTAATGAAGGAATATTGTCAAATAACAAAACCGATAAGGTACATTTAATACATTACCTATACATTGTTTGAAATTTTGTATAATGCTTAGGTAATTTAAACAATTTTATAGATTTCCGGGTGTATTTGGTATTATACAGAATACCTATGAATTTTATAAAATACCAATATTATACACATAATTGCCGCTAACATATATACAAATTTTATCAATAAAAATATAATCAAAACCATCACCTCCAAATATACAATAGTAATTAAAAACATAAAAATAAATAGTTAAAAGCAATTCTATGCACTAACGTCTAAAATGTATATTAATTTTGTATTTAGAATTGTGATGTCAAGTATTTAATTTTTATCTCATTTATTTTGAATTCAGAACGAAATATGTCAATTAAATTATGTAAAATCATTAATTGCAAAGCTATGTTAATAACTTAAATGGTCCTTGCTATGGATTAATTATAGATATCATAAATTTAAAAATGGAAAAAAATATAATATGTATTACAATTGTGAAAGGTCTTGTAAAGGCTGCCAGTAATAATCTAACATTATATTATATCTGAGTGAACCAACGAAACAAGTTCATAACAGTATAATATATTTATTTTATTTTATACTTGGATCTTGTCCGCGTTTATTCAAATGTCTACAAATGTTTTGACAAAATAAGCTTACCCATTAACAATATTTTAATTTTGATTTAGTTACATTACTTAATTCAACAAAAGGTTGAAATGTAATTAATAAGAAACTAAAATCTGTTTATTTAGTGCATGGGTTTTATTCGGATAAAATTAGTGTACCCCTAACTGTTTATTATATTATTATATCAACACAAAACACATCATATATACATTATAATATATAACATATATTATGTGCACACATCACCATGACTTTTTAATGTACATAATATTTGTTTAACGACATTAAAAAATTAATCTGTTCGAGGTTGGTTTTTAATAGATGGGTAAATATGAGTAGAAAATAAAATTTACTATTTTTACTTCTAGCTTATTCGAGAGAATTTCAGTGATTTGTTTATGTGTACTAATACGAAATTGAAGGTATTGTCAACGTTTCATTTTTCATGAAAATCATATATGCACTAAATTAGAAGTATTACCTACGTCATTACAACATTTTTTCTGTTTACTTTTCATGTATTTATGAATTTAAATAATTTTTTTTGATAAGGTGTTAAATGAAACGATTTTTTTTTGTTCTAGATAGACAATAGTGATATTCTGTGATAAGTTGTTTCTAGTCTTAACGGTTAGGTAAAAATTCACAAAATGTCATATTTTTGTTGCTGAAATTTACCGTACGTAATAAATAATAACCTTGATTTCTGTTATAGATCATTTTGGGACTGCCAACAACCAGTGTATTTCTTGACTTGGTGACAAGAGAGATTTTGGTCTAAAATATGTATTTAGTCAATAATACAATTTTTAAATGTGTGAGAATGAAATATGCAGGCGAATTTTAATATTTTTACATTCTTTGATATATAAACTACAAAGTAATACAATATGCACTTGCACATAAAGTTGAAACAACAAACTAGTAATTGTTTTGACCACAGTTTGACCAAAAACTTGATTGTTAATATTTTGATGTGCGATTAAATATCACAATTTTAAAAATATTAATTTTATGAATACTGTTAGATATACTTTCTTACAATAGACATTTTTTTTATTTATATAGCTTGTAGTTCAATAACTATAGAACTTATTAAATTGGAATATATCGCATAACATATTTTGTTTTAATAAAATAGGTAATAGAAATGCTTACCAATGGCGTCCAAGGAGATGCAACAGTATTTGTTCTAGTTTGACTTTTTGAACGTCCTTTCCATATACGTTTGGATATAAACCCTTGCTGAACATTTGTTGAAGATCTTGATTTCTGCATTCCGGGGGCTAAAAAACAAGAAGAAATTTATTATTTACAATAAGGTTAGGTATATAGAATTCATTCTAAAAAAAAAGAACATATATAGGTACATAGTGTAATATAATATGTATATAATATGGTTATTATTAGTTAATTAATTATATACAAATAGAATATTCTAGGCCATAATAAATTACTAACTCCAGAATATAAATCATTAAAAATAGTTCATTTTTATTTATGTTTATGAATATTATTTGAGCTACATAATATTTCAAAGAATTGTCTTATTACCGTTAAGAGACTTCGGTGGGGATAAAGGAGGTGATAACAGTTCTTCTCCACTAAAGGTCGTGCCAGTATCAATACTGCTCCTAGAACTTGTAATTCTTGAAGTAGAATTGTCGTCAATATTTTTTAAAATTGAAATCCACGAATCGTCTGTTTGTATTGATTTATTAGTATCATCACCTTCACATATATCTGGTTCTCCTTTACCTTTAATATTTCTTATATTACGATCATAGTTCACTCGTTTAAACCTATCTATTTTATCAGATTCAACACTTTTTTTTCTTGCCATTCTCAAATATCTTTTTATTGTGTCACTTACAGATGGTGATATATCGTCGTTTTCTATACTGGCTTTGCGTTGTGCAGCTTTCGAAGGAACTTTCGATACGAAATCGGATACCTCAATTGAATCGACTTTTCTTCTACTCTCATCTTCGATTAATCCCAACATTGCTGGTTCCAAGGGCACAGTTTGAATACCAACATCAATGCACTTTTCTTCCATGTCTTCAATTTCTATAACAGGTGGTGGAGACGATAGGTTGTAAGATTTGTCATTTGTTAAAAATAATTTATTTTTTTTATCATTAAATATATTTTGGTATTCAGATGATGTATTTACTCTATCGTATTTTCTTTGATTATCATTCCAAGTGGAGTTAAAATAATTCATAGAATTAAGTCCTAAATTTGACGATGAACCCATTACTCTTCGGCCCAAAAATCCTCTTGTTTTCCTTAATTCAAAGTACAAGTTTTCTAACAGTTTTCTATCCATTAAAATATCCCCTATTACTTTTTCTCTGTTCGTTGACCTTGCATAGTACCTCCTTAAAGTTTCCAATAGATTTTTTTGTGTGTTGTCACTTTCCAATATACTTGTTCTTAAAGGTTTCTTATTATTTTCTGACGTACGTGTATCATTTGTTTTTGATATATAATCTTCTAGTTTTTCCAAAAGTTGTTCATGATCGAAAGAAGATTCTTCAACTGGCGTTGGTTCTTCGGGATTACTAATATAATCGTTAATAAATTGAACCAAGTCTGATTTGGAATCAGGATATTGATAATTTGATAATAGTGTATTATTATTTTCAGTTGAACCAAATAAAAATTCCTTTCTGAGTTGTTGTAGTTCATATCTTCCTGCTGGTCTAGGATGCGCCAAAAATGATACACTAGGTACCTTAACTGTACTTTCGGCTTCGTCCGCACTACTAGCGTTTTCTCGGACACTACCTAATTTAAATCTGTTTCCTCTTGGTCTACCTCGACTTCTGAATCCCAAAGCTCCAGGGTATGATTGTTTTCTCCATAGTAAAAATCTAGGTTCCTTTTGGCATACGTCTTGAAAGTATGCTTCGATTTTGGGTACATCTTCGGGTCGATTTCCAACATTTTCCGGTATTAATTTTCTACCAGCATCTGCCATATATCTCCACGTTTTTCGTGTTAATAGCCATCGTTCTCGTTTGGAACCTCTATTTTTTCTGTCTTTGAACGACTCTTTTTCCCAAGTTTTAGCCATTGCTTCATTACATTCTCCGATACTGATTCGAGAGCTTTTTTTTGTTATTTTTTTCTTTCTCGTAATTAACTTGAAGCTACATTTCCGGGGTTTATCATCATTTTCATCACGCGAACTGCACGGTTCAGACATTGTTTTATTCAAGCACAACAATTAATACAAACACACATTAAGCTAATATTACATAAGCACATAAAATTCATTAATATTACTACTAGTTAAAAACGATAAGTATTTAAAAACAATATTATCAAATTAGATCGGAAAATAATTTTAAAATTGATAAACTATCTTAAAAAGAAATCTCTACTTGCGTATGAGGTTTAAATATTTAATTTACACATATACACTGGAATGAAAAAAAAACCGTCGGCGAATGGAGATTAAACATATTTTTATATACAATAAAAATGTCTTGTCGTAACCGCGACTCGCACTAGACTCGAAAATAGCCGCGGGCATTTTCTCAGTGAGGTAAATTCATGATAGGAAGAGTTGTGTAGGGAAATAGTGGGAGTGGGAGTGGGAAGGAGAAGATAACGATCGGGTGTTGGAGTAGTAGTGTGCCAAAATATATAACACCCACACGTTTGTCTTATATAGTTTTGCATCACCTTATATAATAGTAGTTACTAGTTTAGATACAGGGTGATCAGGGCAACTTGCCCGGTTTTTTTATGAAGATGGTAAACAGGAATAATATCATTTGCCAAAAATCGTAGGTCTTAAAAAAATTATATCGATAGGGATATTAATATTTTCCATTCCGAAAACTATTGAGTATAAAACACGTGCAGGAGATTAATTGTAAATTGAAACCATAATCTAAGAAATTAGTTCACTGTACGTAAGCCACTATTTTTAAAGTAATTTTTCCACGATATTTTACACTGAACATTTTTCCGTGTATTTATAATAAATTTAAAAATGAATAAAACGTCATATGGCTTAAAATGCTTTTAAATATTCACAGTACGTATTCAATAATTGTATACACATGTTTTAAGAACCAATTTTAAAGAATACCTTATTTTGTAGGCCTATAAACCACAATATTTAACAATACTTAGGTATGTCATGGATATAAAATATGTATCGTATAAAATAATCATAAGTGTGAGTGTGATTAAAAATGCAACGTTTGTAAGGATTTAATATTAGAAATCTATAAAAAAAAAAACTGTTAAGATAAAAATAATCAAGTCGTTCTATAAATAATAAAATAAAGTTGAACACAATAGAGAAAAAAAATAAATGCGTTTTTATGAACTTTGATTGGTATAAATCAGAAGAAGGGAGAGAATATTGGCAAGTTTTATAGTTCTCTGAATAGGCTGTTTTTGGCGTAGTTTAAATATTGAGGACATAAAATGCAACTACAAACCTCGAAAAATGAGCCGTAACTCTATAAAATACAAACGAAGCTACAAATAATAATTTTATGTGAAATACTTATAATGTAATAAAAAATATATATTATGTGCGTACTTAATAGTAAACGTATGTCGATTTAAATTTTTTTATTGTAAACAAACTATTTAAACGAAGTTCACTATTTAAAGATACTTAATTTGACTGTTATAGATATTAGTTTAATTGTCTATCAAATTCATGTAAGTTATCAAAATAAATTGATTGATAGTCATAAAATAAAAATAAAATAACTATAACATGACAATATTCTTAGGTAATAAAATAGCCAAGATTTTCCAGTTGTCGTTCACCGTTACCTACTTTAAAACACTAATTCAGAACAATATATCAGTAATCTCCATACAATATAAATAGTACCTACCTATATGCATAAGAGGAAATCCATTAACATTTCAGGGGTGATAACATTTTTAACATCATTATGAGATCCCACACTACTAAAAAACTGTACATTTTTGGGGGATCTAAGCCCCCCAATTTTCACCAATGTACCTACGTAGAGCTCCCCGGTATAGGTGCCTAATACTTAACATCAAACTAAATATTGTGTATAGTTAATAAGATCTCCCAAAAATATGTCATAGAAATACGTATAGGTATATATATCATAATATTATCTTAAAAATATGTTTTCTCTCTAACACAGAAATATTATTTATTCTAACGTGACATTTGCAATTTGTGTTGATCGTTTGATTTCTAATACTAATTGAAAACATTCGCATTTGTACGGTTTATTTTTAATTTTGCGTAAAACGTTTTTTTGTACTTTACTTATATTTGCAAATGTAGCTCACGAGTCACTGCAGCACATATGTCTTCGCAGAGTATAATACGTCGTCAGTATTAAATGTTCATTAGGTATAATAATATTTTTAAATATAATAAGATAATGCTGGTAATAACCGAAATATAGAAGTCTGTGGGAGTGTATTTTACGATTGTTATATTTATTGCCACCTCAATACTTTGTATAATATCATAACGTACACAATCAAAACACCTGTGAATGATGGCAATGCCAAATTCAGGGGCGTATTTAAAATGTTGGGGTCCCCGGCTTAGCTTATGATTAATTTTTCCGATTTCAGTATTTTTACAAAATATTTATTATTCACACAAAATCAAATGAAAATTATGAGTTATGTATAACAAACTACTATAGATGACGATATATCAATGTGATAATGCTCTTTTGCAGAGTTTTATATTTAGAAATAGGTACCTAGGTACCTATTTTGTTATAAAATAATTAAGATAGTATTTATAAAGCATAATCCTATATGCTATAAGTCCCAAGGCTTAATTATTGGGATTTGTGATATCTAATTTAGAATTTAGTCAAAAAACAGAAATGTTTATTTCTCCGGATATATATTCCGCGGTTGTAGATTAGGAACCAATATTACACAACTTATTTATATATTTATTATTAATTTATACCACTAGACTCTGATGCCAATAAGAATTCTCAAAATATTGTTGACTACAGTTAACACACTTTAAGACAAGTCTAATGAAAATGTAGGTAATTTTTTTTTTGGAAACATAATAATATAATCCCACGGGCCCAGTGCTATCGCTTGTATCATAGTTATATCCACTGGATTTTAACCGTGACCGAACATTACAAGTATAATACTATATAATATTATAGTGTTGTATTAACAGTGTCAGTGTGATGTACGAAATATTAATAGATTTATATTTGTGTGTTAGTACGATTATGTGGGCGTGTGTTCTCATATCGCTGCACTTGTGCCATTAGCAGGTACGATAAGAATAGTTTATTTTAATTAAATTATTATTATTTCGTAGGTAGATACATTCGCATTGGTTTCGTTCTCTCGGCGAAATTGAAAGTACACTGTTATCCGAAAAACTATGACCCAATATTGTTATTCTGAAAAAATATTTAGAGTCGAAGCACATATACTTATTATGTCTTAGATATAGATTGTATATATTCTTCTAAAAATAAAAAAAAAAGATTCATCAACACACTTTCTATCAATAAAGAAAAAAAATTAAATTTATTATAGGTACTTTCATGATTCATTATAAATGATAAATATTAATATACAATTTTTAAATAGTACTCGTATTAACATACGATTTGAACTCAACTAACGTAGGTATCTGGTTACTGAATCTGAATATTTTTTATCAAAGTTAAAATCAGCTCACGTTATAATTTTTATTTCGTTGACAGTTTAATAATATTTAGGTCGTTTCAAATTAAACATATTCGAGAGTTGTTATCGAACGTGCGCAAACTATTCTTGTTCATATTACTCAATTACATACTGTCCTTAGTTTTTACCTATTAGGCATGTATACAATACAAACGAAATTTCTGCACAGATGATGTTGAAATTATTGAGTACCGACCATTGAGTAAGATACTACCATATCTTACTCTATAGTACCTACTATTGTAATTGAATTCGATTTTGATAATTTCCTTGTAGGTATAGGTTTGAAAAAAAAATATTAGAATAAAAATGATTTTTTTTATTATTTACACAGATATACGAATATATATAAATATATAACAGGAAATACAAACAGTTTATTTTTTGTGTAATATTTAAAAAAAATGTATTATTACTCTAATCGTTAACTATTTACAAATCCTTCCACATACCTAGTACAAAGTTCAGAGATTATTTTCATTTACGAACTCACTTTACGAATGTCTGATGTTACATTTTGAATAGCTGATTCCCCCAAAAATGTAAGTAAGTTTATCTGAAAGAACAATTATTTAAATGTGACATCAGTGACTCTCTGCAGGTTACATATTTTTAAGTTTTTTTTATTTATTTTGTTTTTATTTTTATTTATCTATCATCGAAAATAACAAAAAGCTTGTACACATAGATATGTTTCAGAACATTATTTATTTTGGTTTTTTATATCAATATAGGTAATTGTTAGTTACAATAAAAAAATATAAAAAAATATTGCACAAAAAATAATTTGTTTATATTCGTGGCTCTGCACAGCATACACTTGTTGCACTATGGCTGTGCGTAAGCTCAATTTCAACTTTTGACCTGGGGGAATATATTAAAGTCAAGCAGACCATTACAATAAACATATTAAAATTGTATGTCCTAGGACCTAGGTTGTTTTTTTTTTTTTTTGGGGGGGGAGTAGCACCCCCCAAGACCCTCCACCCCTCCAATTGGTGAATATGTGGCTGTGCCAGTAGTGTAGCTTGCGTGTATACTGTGTAAGCACTTCAAAAATTTAAAAATTATTAATATTTTATAATATAATATAATATTTAATATTATGGATTGTCTTCAAAGTTGAGTAACGATTAACGTCGATACTGGATAACGATCACTAACTGGCCATGTACAATATACATGTTAAAAAAAAAATATATCATAATTTCAATTATTTATATATCTGTGTAAATTATTGAAACTAGAAAAGAACGAAAAATGTTATTATTATTTTTTTTTTTTATAAAAAGGAATTTGTTCTAGGAATCCGTTCTTTTTGGAATTCGTTCCTTCCAAACACTGATTTGTGTCCATAGGAAATTATTTAGAACAAAAAATATTTCTGTAAGGTTTATCCCAACAAAATATTCATGTATTTATTTATAAGCATATATATATACATTTGAATTATATATTTAGATATATATATTCATGTCTGTTTTTCAGGTAATTATTTTACAAAAAATAAGAAATAACTAAATTCATGTTTTGTTGCAACAAACTTTATACTGAAATAATTTCCTTGTGGACACAAAAAAGTAAAACATTTTCAAAATTATGGGAACTTTCTTTATTTTATGTACACATATATTATGAGTTTGGGAAAAATTGAGTAATTTTAATTGGCACGCAAAAAAAAAAATCTTAAACATTTTAAATGTTTTTGAATAATTTTAGATGGTTAAAAAATTTAAATAAAAATTAAAAAATAAAAATTATAATAAATATATTTTTATCTACCTAATATCATAAATAAACCTACAGTAAAAAAATTAAAAAAAAAATTCGTTAAAACGTATTTTCCTCATAAGAAAAGGTATAAAATGTATAGGTAGTTTCAATAAAAATAACGGAAAAACGTCATGAGGCTTACATTTTCCAAGTTGATATTGTTATAAACAAGTTAAAAATAAACGTATGGTTATGACATTTTATATTTGACTTAAAGAATTTATGCTAATAGAGTTTTGATATTTTTTTATTAAATTTATATTGAAATTTGACTTTTGAGCTGCTAAAATAGCGGTTCAGACCACTGTGTGAGGTGCAATGCTGCATCGCTGCATGGAAATATAAAAATTAAGCGTTATCAAACGAAGTAGCCAAAAAGGTCTTAAAAAGGTATCTCATGTTACCCTGTGTCCGAAGTTTTTTTTGTATTAATTGGACTCTACACAGATATTTGTTGTCTCCGTCTTACAAGTGCACAATATAGCAATTTTACGCTCAGCAGATCACGTTTAACTCCGTTATAGTTTAAAAATTAGATTGAATCGATCTATTATGAAACTTGACGGTAAGAACATTTACTGTGTTTTATGTGGGTTTTTTTACGATAACTCAGTTTTTAAGATAGTTATGAGCATTTTGAAATTAAGTTATATTAAATACTGATAACTTACTAAAAATTGAACTTTCGTAAAAAACACACATTCAAACACAGATAATGTCGTTAACATGAAGTTTCATAATAGGTCGATTCATTCTAATTTTTAAACTAGCTGAGCTAAACGTTATCTGCTGAGCGTTAATTTGGTATGTTATGCACTTGTAAGACGGAGTCAACAAGTGTCCTCTTAATACAATTTGGTGACTAAATTTGTCTGGGTATAGGTACCTATAGTGCCTACTAAATGTCACATGACCTTGATGACTATAATATGTCTGGCCAGATGACAGTAATAATCTCTTATTTTCATACATATAACTTCCTAAACATATGCATTTATATCACATACATAGTATAGAGGGCTGGTCACCTTTACACATACCTTAGATGCTTTTTAAGTATACTTTTCTTGTATGACATAAAATGATTATAACTGATGAAATATAATTCGTGTAGTTTGTAATGAATGATTTTTAGCAGGTTATAGGTAGGTACTTGTCATACATAATATGCTGGGCTGCATGAAAAATTAATTAATTTAATGGTTAAATAAAATATTTAAGGGACCATTAGCTCACCATTCATTCAATAAATGTTTAGGGATTGTTCATGCATACCCGGCACTATTAGTATTTATCAAGGTAAAAATCCATATAGACATAGCCCATAGGTCAAAAAAATATTATTTAAATAAATATCAATCATATTTTAGGGCTGTTGGAGTATGGCACTCGCTGAGTACAAGAACAATATCGGGACCTATATATTTTTTTCACATGCAATACCTACCCATTAAAAAATAACTAAAACTAAATAAAGACGATAGGCCTAGAAATGTAGTAGGTAAATGTAAAAAAAATTGTTAAGTATTTAAAAATGTTTAAATACATATCTGTTAAATGTATTTAAATAATTTTGAGTTCCAGAACTTAAATACTTATTTACAATACTTTAAAAAAGTATTTTTAACAAGTATATTATTATATACGTTGAATACTATTAGTACGTAATGCGTCTGAACAGCTATATAGAACATATTTTACACATTTTACTAGACCATCTGTACATGACGTAGGTACATATTATATAGATTGAAATTATTTATACATTTTAATTTTTAGTTACAAAAAACCTATATATGCATATTATATTGGCTATGTTCGTACGAATTTTATTTAACGATCAATATAAATTATTTTAAATTAACGGATTAAAAATAATTTTTTGTTAAAAATTAAAAACCTATTTTAGTTGATATTTGTGGGTATTAAAATTATTTTTTAAATCTAGGTTATATTATTGTAGGTCTACTACCTAGGCCTATATTATCGTAAAATTCGGAATGCGTAGGTTTGTCACTTTTGGCTAACATATTATTACTCGATAGCGTTTGCGTATGTTTATTGATGAATCAAAGAGGTTTTATTATTAGCTTAGAGTTATTATTATTTTTTTTTTTTCAAAAGTCAATTCAGATATAAAATGTGTCTGAAAACTTTATATGGTAAATGTAGGCAGGTACACAAATTTATATATTTATGTTATTTATTTTGTATTTACTTAAAAATTCAATTTTTATTGAAAGCGTTCTACTGATTACGAATGGTACGATTGATTCGCAGTTTCGTGTAATGTAAATTTTTTTTCATAAGTGTAACTAAAATAAATATGCGATTATCATACTTTTGATTAATATATCTATTGTTAAAATACTTTAAAAAAAATGTTTATATACAATATACATAATATGTGATAATACTATTACTAAAACGTCTAAAACCTATTTATTTGTCTAATGAGCAAAAATGTTGTTTAAACGAAAAGCACACACAATCCGCAATGTATGCTTTCACCTTATTTTTTTCCCCGGTAAAATGATCGACGAACATATGCAGGATCATACAAATTAATCCAGTACTAAGATACAGCTTCGATGGGTAGACTTTAGCCCTTAACAAGTGCCCCATCAGCTGACTTTGTGCTTTTGATTTTGTTCTGAAACAAATAACGCAGGGTCTGCTTAGTAATGTACTTTTCTACTTATATTGGACATCGTATTTTCATAATTTCTATAACAAGAAATAGAGGTGTCTTGGAGTTCTTAATAAAGTTATGAGTTATAACTCATTTAAAAATCATCGCCTATATTTTTGGTTGTAACTATTAATTATTACGCCCTAGTCCTCTTTTTTTTTTTTTGAATATTATTTACAACATCTTTACTTACGCTTAAATTTATATATTATAAAAATCAAATATGTCTAATCAATTGTAATAATCAATAGACAATAGGTAACTAATTAACAAATTGACTTGGGATGATATCGTAAGGCATGCATTTTTAAGAAAAATGTAATCATTTTATTTTAGTTTAACAAAAATAAATGTATACATACTATTCGGGCTGTAAACTTATTTATTTAATTTACTAATTGTTATAAAAATACCGAAGTATTGAAAAAGAGAAAAACTAAGAATACTCGAAAGCATAAGTATAATATTAATCATACAAACAATTGTATAACTGATGGTTGTAAATAATTTGATAAACTAAAAGTGACAGAAGGATAGGCCACACTCAGATAATATTTATTATCTTTCTTTAATATCATTTCATACCTATAAATGTAGGCAATTTTCCGGCACTTAACCGATATACGAGTTTATCGGATTTCATTTTCTTCCGTTCAGCGAGTCCATTTGAATAATTCAGGGCTTGAAATCGTAAATAAATGTCGTTAAAAATCTTTTAAAAAATCAAAATTGAAAATGTTTGTTAATAATATTTATATTGAAATTGAAAATGATAGTTCATAATTTTCAAAATGTATATTGAAATTGAAAATGTTTCTTTATGATATTCAAAATGTATATCGAAATCGTAAAAATTTAAATCAATAATTTATATCAAAATAATAACCGTGTTATAAACACATCAATATATCAATTGGAAATTAAAAAAAAAATTTGAATTCAACAATAATAGCCAACAGGTATATTAAATATAAATATAATGATAGTCATTGGTAAGAAATATTAATATCGATGAAAAATGGTAATTCCTCATAGTATGGCTCAGTCGATTTAAAATAAACATTTTTTTTTTAAAAACACACTTTTCTAAAAAAACAAAAAAAATAATGAAAAATTTAAAAGTGTGTGGCGCTCTTACACTTGACATATTATACCACACACTTTTAAATTTTTCATTATTTTTTTTGTTTTTTTAGAAAAGTGTGTTTTTAAAAAAAAAATTTTTTATTTTTTATTTTCTACTTTTTAGTTAAAAAATTTTTTTTTACGGATTATTGTATTGTCATCAAAAACCAAGGTCTATACCAATTTTCAGAATTTTTCATCTTCAAAAAGTGCCTCAAATCGAGCGCGCAAGATTTGATCACAGACGGACGTGAAACCGAACTTAAGAAAAGTGTATAAAAAGGCTGTTTAGGCTGTTTCGATTTAAAAGCTGTTTCTTTTACTGTTTATTTTTTAAAAAAAGACGGTTACGTAAAAACCGTTCCTTTTTGACAGCGATAATAACGCAGTGTGGACAGTTATCATAGACCTTCTAAATAAGTATATCAGTTTCATATACATTAACATCTGTTTCGGGTATATAAAGTTTATGACAGTTATACTTCGTAGTTCGTAATTCTTTTTCTTCTACTATAGAAAAGCTATAATCTTACTCTATGGCTATACTGATTACTGGTACGATAAGCAATACGTCCGTTCGATTAGCAATCGTTTTGAAATTATTGTATTATTACACACGATTGAAATGCTTTTTTCCATTATTGTTCAAGACATTGTATTCCGTATATAGACATTTTGTGTCATACTGCAAAGCACTGCTAACAGTTATATTGGGTATTTGGGTGTATCAATAAGTTCTTACATTTTTACATTGGAAATTGCAATTGTACTTTAAATATAACATATTATGTGATACACCGGACATACAGTATAATATTATTACGTAGGTATAATAATATTTAATATAGTATAGTTTATAATAATATATCATACTATCATGGCTATCATGACGTTATACATTTATTTGGACACTACTTAAAATTTTCCTTCCCTGAAGTCTGAACATTATCCAACTATAATTGGTTAATTTTACTCACGACAAAATCAACTAGGAATTATAAACGTTATATTAAGACAAAATTTGGAGAGGCACATACTTACAGATTATTCATCCCAATATTGGAATCGTAGAAATGTCAAGGTGATATTATAAAAATAAAAATTATAACAAATCGAAAAATAAAAACAAAAATCAATATAGTTAATCCATATTATGCAACAAAATTAAAATCATTAAATCAATATTTTACTATTAAATTTAAATAAAAAAAATAATATCAATGAGGAAAATTGCAATCAAAATCAAAAAATCTTGTTTCGATTCCAACCCCTGTTGTTCATAAATTATTATACACTTGTGCTGTATTACCTACACAAAAAATAAATTTGAAATTGGAGTATATTTTTTCGCAATAAAGAAATTTTTATTATTATTACCATCATTAATACATATTGTCGAAACAAATCATATTTTATTATATACAATTATAATTAATATATTATTCATACGTAGTGGTGAAAGGTTTAAATTAATAACAATCAATATTTTTTAATTAAAAGTTACAATGAATTAACGAAATAATGAGTTATAATAATATAATAATGTTGTTGTGTACAAACTAAAACGCCGCGAATTGTGAAGATAGGCTAAACGAGAGTATTCGTTATTATTACAAAAATAAATTAATTCATGCAAACCAGAACGCCGTGAGTGGCGAAAATATTCTTTATAATATTAAAAAATATATTATTATTATTGTTGAACCGAAACGCCGAGATGTTTTTCGTATAGGCAACATAAGAACCGTACGCGTTCGAAATGTATTTTTGTTGGGTGTATTTTAATTTCATAAGTATTTCACAGAAGAAAACAGTAACGCCGCGAATTATGTAGTATAGGCAACACAGTTGTCTTCGCGTTAAATAAAAGTGCCAAGAAAAACAAACGCCGTGTGTATTCTTATAGTGTGCAAAACATTAATAATATTTTGGAGACCATTTATAGTGCTGTTAATATTAAAATAAAATGATTCCGGATAATTTTGAATCATGGTACATACTTCTTTTATTATAAATGAAGGGTTTTAAATGCAAATGTAAAAATATTTTGGACTTGACTACCGACACCCTATCTATGATACTTTAGGTATGTAAAAACTAAAAACTAAAAATACGGAATAATTAAACTGTACATTTTTTAAAATCACATTAAACTTTATAAAAAATTGTCTTTTATTAGTTTTATTTATTAAAAACAGATAGAATACGATTCCCTAACTTTTAGGCCTCAATTTCAAAATCTTAGGAAGTGCCTAGTAACATCCCTTGAATACACACCTATACTCTTTAAGCACATATTTAAATTAAAACAATAAATTATGAGTTATCAGTTATGACAGTGATAAATACAAATAAAATATTTTGTTTTTTTTAGATAAGAAGTTTATTTTATTTCGATTTTTAATGAAACACCTCAACAATTATAATAATAATAGAACAACATTTAATTGTTTGTGACAACTTCTCCCCTTCCCCCGTTTATATGATAATGTATTACATAAACATTAAATAAATAATAAATATTTTCATAAAATCAACCGTGGTTTTTTATGATACCAACTATATTTTTTTATAAGATAATACTGAATCAATGTCACAAACAAATTACCTACATATTATTATATCATACGATAAACGAAGCACAACTGTATTTGGTTAACGACTATTAAATAGATAAAATATTATAAATGTTGCCTTGTATAAATATTTTGAAACGTCCTTAATTTCTTTACGTTCTTCCCAAATCACAAATGAAATTGAAATTACTATAGACATTACATATACCCATAATATAGGTAGGCTTATATTGTAGATGTAACATGGCTCTAAAATATTAAAATTCTAATAGTAATATAGATTACAACTGTGCAATGAAAAATAACTTTTTAAATTTGAAAATAATGTGAGTGTTGAGAACTGTTAATGATATCTGACCTAAAAATGAATAGAAAAAAATGGGTACTGGACATCAATCTCCATTCCATGAATTTAAAAGTCGAAAAATGCAAATTTTGAGTATAAATATTAAATTATGCGGGCCAGCAAAAGTATATACTTAATAAATCAATGAATAATAAATACTTAAATAATATAAATTTCCTTACTGACTACTGTATATAATAATAGAATCAATATTTAATTTAAATTAAATAAAAACTTAAGATCTTAAAACTTGTGATCGAATTTCCCAGATTAATAATTTTTTGTTTTTAACTTCTCCAAAAGTTTAAATATTCTATTTCCTTTTTTAGTACTATTTTTTTTAGGATTTATTGGGATAAAATCAAAAATATGGGAAAGTTTATGGCAAATTTAAATCTATTTTTTTTTATTCAAACTGTATCTCGGATCAAATTATCATTAATTTGAATCTGTAAGTATAGTTCTAGACTTCCAACAAACGTTGTTATTAAAAACATAATAAGTTATAATTAATTAACCATCTGTAATATAATATATATTCCTAATTACCAAGACTACAAAACCACATGGAAACTAGAACAAACCTACAATTTCCGGACAACCTATATTATGAAGCTCTGAATCCACAAGAAGACAACAATATAAGAAGTAAAACTGTTGGAGGATATCAGCGAATTGCTTGTTCCATCTATCTGGCCCATGTGAAACAATTCACAAACGCATACACAAGGGTATATATACATTTGACTTAATATTGTCTCAAAACAATTAAATAAAATAAAATATTTTTTAATTGTATTATTGAAGTCAAACTGAAAGCCAAACAATAATAAAATATTAAATTGTTTTGTCAAAACCTCAAGTAATAAAAAAAAATTTAAATGCGATAAATAATAAAAAATATGAAACCTCAATATTATTTGGTAAATCACATAGGCGTCATTAGGAGGGGAGCTTAGGAGGAGGCCTAACCTCCACTCCCAATTTTTTAATCATATTTTAGTTTAAATTATAATTATCAGGGTTTGTGCTGCTCATACAATGTTAGCCACCCCAGAATAAGAGCTGCAAGCAGTGGCATGTAACATAGGGTACAAGTGTTGCTCAGGCAACATCTCAAACATGGGTGGGTGAGTATTGATAGAAGGAAAATAGGATATTTTATAGGTCAGTATAACAATATTATGAGGGATAGGCCATCTAAAATTATTTGAGCAAATAGTTACCATTTTTTTTATAATACACGTCACTGGCTGCAGGAATCCAAACAGGTATAGTAGAAAAATTTGTTGAGGTGGGACTTCGCATACTAAAAATTAAAAGAGTAATTTAAGCCACTGTCAAGTGAATGGTGGTGCAAAATGCGTAGGGAAAATTCGAAATTTCGAAATGAACATTGCAAAAATAAAAACAGAACAAGGGAATTTTTCGATTTATTTTCTAGCTTTGAGGTTGGTTCAGGTAGCAAATAAGATCTAGTTGGGACTTTAGGGAAAAAATTAAAATTCCAAGTACTTTGAAAAATCATCCTTTTAAACAAAAAAAAAAAAAAAATGATAAAACAGTGTCAAAATTGATTTTGTTTTTATTTGTTAGAATTCAAAAATTAATTATTTCACAGATTTGACATTTTCAACAAATATTGATATTATCAATTACTAGAGGTGCTATAATATAATTTCAAAATATTTCGTTCATTTTTGTGTTGCATTTGCATTTTTTTTTAAGCGACCATTTAATTGTTATGCGCTTTGTAGAAAACTTTTAAAATTGAATATAAGATCCCAATAAATTATAACTTTGGAAATTTAAAAATATCAATAATACATAGGCAACATTTTTTTTTAAGTGTTTGTAGTTCAAATTTTTAGAAATCTGATCAAAATTACTAAAATGCACAAAATATTTTTTTTAGTTAAAAATCAATGAAATGTTTAACTTTGATAAAATATTATTTAAATAATTTTGTTGTAAGTCCATTATATTATTATTCACAGGAACTTCAACTTTTCACCACTTTGTATAGTTAGTAGGTATCAATGTATTATTTTAAATTTACAAAATATTTAGATTCATTTTAAGCTATTTTACCATGAACCTATTTCTATTCACACCGGTCTTCGGTACTTCGATATTGAATTTTAAGTTATAAGATAATAACAGTTAAGTTAGTAATATTATACAACATAATATTATTATAATAATTACTCTTTTATGGTATATGCTTTTTTTTTTTGTGAAAATTTGTTCTACTTACTGTATTAGTTATATACATATCATATGAATATATATTATAATAAAATAGTCTTAAAAATATAGACTAACAAACCGTCTCCGTTTAAAGTCGTAAGCAATGATTCGTCATTGAATTCAAATTTAACACATCCATTATAGTGAGTAGTGACCTACTCAATGATGAGTTACAGTCGACGTCTACTATACAGCAGAGGGAATTAAACGATTATTATTTGGTCTGACGTTGTCTTTTGGAGCAGCATAATGCTCAAATCTTCAACTCTGAGGGTGGTTTCTGGTAGATAATTTGATTTAGTTGGTACTATGCTGGGAGATAAGAATTATAACGTTCCGAGTAATTTTCAAAATAATTTGGAATACAAAAAATGAACTAACAAAACTAAACGTGAACGTGATTTTGCTATGTGAGTGTGTTAGTATGATCCTCATAATTTTTTTTCGATTTGTTATCACTTATCAGTAATTATTGGCTGATGAGCCGTTATTCACATAAGCATGGCCATTGATATAGATTCCATATTATCTGGTGGTCATAATCACGACTGCATCGCATTAGCAATTGTAATATTACAATTTATTATTCTACTTCCGTCGTCATAACATATAAACTTATATTAGTATGACACTAATGACGTATAAGAATAAATCTATACTTTCATCAGAAACCTTGACATATTGTATATCTATTGAAATACAAAAAATAACTGAAATCATTGTTTTTCGTTTAAATATCCAATTTTGTCAACATTTCAACTAGGTAGGTATCTACCTATCAAACATATTTTACAAAAATCGTATGGGGGAAAATCGTTATAACACATTTAAATACACCAAACATCGTCATAATCACCCCACTTGAGGATGTAGGGCTATATCAGTGGATTATTTTACCTCAAACGTCTAATAATATTGTTTTTACCCGAGTATTACCCAGTTTTGCTGTAGGACTACACAATATAAAAAAATTATATTACATTAAAAAAATCATAATGTAATATTTTCAAAACGGTTGGTTTCACACACACAGATATGTCACATTTTTTTGCGGCTCGTCCAACCCCACACACCGTACGTGTCTCATCTACAGCGGTTCCACTACGTATGGGTGTTAAATTTGCACTTGCGCGGAGTGCAGCATATTATGTTTTGAAAATCGTAATTTTTCTCGATTTGTTCTATACCAGTGCGCTAGTATACCGCAGGTACCTTGTTATAACCAATACCTATACACTCTACTCTGGCCCGTATCTCTATAGTCGACGATCGGTCGAGACCCACTGTGCAGGAACTTACCTACTGACGGACGGTTGGGCGACGTTGAATGTTGACGAGACGGCGATCGGACGGCGGCGTTGAGTACTGCTGCGGTGTGTCGTATCCATGAAATGTGCGGTCAGTGGTTTCGGACGTTTCATGGTCGTCCAAACAGGCGAGTTCAACAGCAGTCGGTGGCCGGCCGTCTGTTCATGGTGCAGGTTGCGCGGCGGCAAAGTCGTCGGACCAAAGGCGGGTTATAATAAAACGCGGGCGGCGGCGGCGGAGGGGGGCCGGAGAGGAAAATATAAAAAAGATGTACGCTCGTGTGGCATGTGTTTTTCTTGCACTCTTTAGTAGTGGTTTGCAATGGTTTTTTACAGTTCGCGCGCGTATATTACGGAGACGGGTCGGATTCGTATTTAATTTTAGATATTATACCAACTGTGCCGCACAGCCGCCTTAATGAACCGCTTTCAACGCGTACAGTTTAACACGTCGACCATATCTGCGGGGAAAAAAAAATCGTACACAAAAATATTACTATTAGTGAAAATAAATACATCAAGTACCTACATGATATTTTATAATATTATAGTATATCAGACGCTGCAGACTATGTATTTTTTAAATAAAACCATTTTGCCCGTATAATATAATACGTATAATGTACACATTTTTAGACACATATATATACCAACCGACGGAGACGACGAGGCGACCGTGATTTTTATTATTTTTTTTCACGTATGTAAAATATAATTATATTATTTCGTTGTTGGACGGTCTACAGTTTCTTTTCCCGAAATTAATCGAATTTTTCAAAATAACCACATTTACGTTCTTTTTAAAATCGTCACGATAGAACAATAAATTCTATATGAAATAGTTTTATACTTTTATAAAAAAACTGAAATATTTGAATATTTATATCTAAAACTGCATTCATGCGATTGGTCGTGGAATTTAAGGACAGATTTTGCTTTTATTTATATAAACTCATTAATAACTCGTCGTGCGTTTTATATACTTGGGTAAATACGAAATACTGATTAAACTGCAGGACCTATTACTCTTGTACCTAGTCACAAAATAATTTAAATCAAATTAACAATGACTAGATATCGTAATTCGCAAGAACGTAGTGCATCAATTTAATTATACATATTTTCTATATAGGTGTATAGTGTATATCTCCATTATTAGGTGTGTTGCTATTATAGGCGTATTACTATAAACTAAGACAAGATTATCAAATTTCCGAATGATGCCTTTAGGTAAACCACTATTTTATGATTGAAATTAATTTCATTGATATAAGTAGGCCCTGTCGAAAATATACTTGACAAGTTTGGCAATAAACTTAATATGCTTAAATATTTACAATTACCACCTACCTGTATGGCTGTATTACGGTATATTATTATAGTATTGGAAAATATAAATACGCACAAAACGTCATAACTGGCAAAATAAGCATAGTCAAAATGTTATACTAAATTCTTCAGATTAAAATTAAAATCTTTTTTTAAACCAAGTACTTAGGTAGGTACTAGAAAACAATGATAGGTATGTAAAGCATATGTAAAGCATACCTATTAATTCCTGTAGGTAAGTACCTAGTTTGAGTCTATGACAAACTAATCTTAAAAGGTCTATAATATCGTTTAAATGTACAAATAATCTATGCGTAATATATTATTAAATATAGTGGAACCCAGGAATTTTTAAAGGGTGGGGGGAGGGATCCAAATTTTGTTGACATGTAAAAAGTATGCAACAAGTGGATTTGCACCTTAAGAATTTTAAATTTTGTTAATAAATTGTTAATCAATGGGGGGGGGGGGGGTCCAGGTTTTCGGCTTATCGAAGTTCGACTTATCGTGGCTCCACCTTATACCTATATCATAATATAGATATTATTAGTATGTTAATATAATATAATAAATTATAGCACATTATATTTACAATTTTGAAATAATATGAATGATGTAGGTATTCATAATTATTTCTTAAGTTTTGATAATCATTATTTTGACAAAAGCATATCTGTATCCACCGTTAATGGACATTTTTTTCAAAATTACCCTCCCCCCTTGGTTTTCCATTAGTTTATTTTATAATAATAAATATATAATATAATTGAGAATGTGATCCAACATAAAAATTGTAAATAAAATTTATTAAACCATTCATGTTTCACACTTATACACAATTATTTATCAATAATACATGCTTGATTTTTGAATGGACAATTGAGTGCATTCATTTAGGTACATTTGGGTATGAGATAATATGTTCCCTATATTTTGTGCTAATAACTATAGACGTACAAAGCTATTTTATATTTGAAAACAATTAGAAAAACTTAAAGGTGCTTATATCAATTTTTGTGAAATTATCTAAATTATAATTTTAAAATAAATTAAGAACTTGAATATTCATATTTTAAATTGTTAATTTTTTTTTTCCAAAATGCAATAGATATTATTTAATAGGCGAGTAAATGTATATGTCATTTATAATATTATAGCAATTAGACTAATTAGAGATAAATTATATTATCATAATTATGCATACAGAATCAATTTAAATTTAGTATATTATTATAATCAGTGTACAGTTACACTTGACTCCGTAAATTGGAAAAAAAGTAGTGTATTAATTATGAACTTATTATAATAATGATTCCAAATAGGCAATTTTCTACTAATATTTATAGATTTACACCGATTAATGCACCTAATAATAGTTGGGATAAAAATATGATGGACAATGATTTAATAAACAATTTTAACGTTCATTGTTTTTAATATTTGTCATACAAAATAATGTTTATCTTGATTTGTCTTACAAAATAACGTTTATCTTGATACAAATTAATACTAAACGTTGAGCGATAAATCTAACTAGTTTATTAATATTATTTATGTTTATAACTTCCTAAACAGCGTTTTCAAACATGAAAGTTATCGCTTTTTTTGTCTTATTACAATTCTAAATACATGCGCCATTATATCTATATCTAATGACTAATTTCTAAAAAAAATAACATTCTATTTAAAACTTTTGAATTATTTTGATCTCTAAATTATGTATTCCATAAACAAAAGACATCGTTGAATAAAAGAAACAGTTTCTTTCTTTCCAAATACCACTCAGTATTTAAATTATATTTTAAACTGCCATTTCGTTTCATTATTGTTTCATAATGTTCAACGTATAAATCCACTAGCGAGCACACAAAACATTTTATAAGAAACAAATAACTTTTATTTCGTAATGTATCTATTGTAAATAAACACGACCGTAATTTTGAATTAAATCCACATAATAATTATTAAAAATATAAAGTTGTTGATAAGACTAAAATTAGCATAAGTCATCCAAAAATCATTACATATATATTACGCTTAGCTAATTGCTACTATTCATAATTTAAAATTATATGTTATAATTTAAAGGAATATAGGTAATAGAACTGCACTTTTAATAAATCAACAATTTTACTAAAATACCAAAGCTATACTTGTTATAGGTAAGTGCTGTTGAGTTCAATTAAAGTCTTAAGTGTGGAAAAATATAGTACATAATTATACAGATTTAATGAGATAGGTAGTTTAAAATACAGTACCTATACTTAATATAAAGTATAGGTACATACATTATACATAATATTCAATAACGATAATAATATTATAGTCATTATTGATATTAATGCGTTAAACGACATTAAAAACGTGTAAAACTTTTTGAATTGAATTAATAACGTCAGAGACTGACTGTTATTTCCTTTGATCATTCATTAATTAGTTCAAAGACAATATGCAAGACTATTATAAATGTTCGATTGACAAGTTGATGGCCGTCCAAATGAAGGATGCTCTAAAAAAAAATATCGCTATTTAAATTAACCATACAATTTGCGATCAAACCACGTGATTGAATTTAAAAATATAATGGTGGGTAGGTACATCATAGTGGTAAACCTTCCCGGGAACACAATTTTGTTTTAGTCAGACGTATCATATAATATATAGTTATATAAATATTATGTTTGAAAATGTGTAATTCATACGGCCGTATAATTTTATATTTTAGTAATTCTGTTTAAAGTTATTGAACCTGACCTATTGCAAAAAAAGTATTCATATGAGTTTTATATTTAACATACAAGAAGGCATTTTAAATGTTTACGAATCACTAGAATAAATTGAAAAAAACGTATACGATGGATTGGTCTGACGTCATTGTTAGATATCTAAATACTGTCTATATATATTATACACACATTAGAATAGTAAAACAATTTAGTAGTCTTTCTATAAATATGTCCAAATGTTACTAAAGTTAACTCTTATAAAGTCAACAGATAGAAACAGCCGCGTGTATTGTACAATATGATTTTAGTAAAAAAAAAAAAATAAAAAAATAATGCCATTCATTTTCTAAAAAGATTTCTTTTCGGGATTTCTACTTTATGAATATTAATGATAATATAAAAACGCCAAACCATACATCGTGTCTTTTTTATGAACTACTAATGAACCATATCTCAAAATTATATTTATCACGACCATTAGCTCGGAGCGTCATAAAAATATAATACTATATAGTTCTAAGAATTACGAACAGAAAATAAGTTTAATAGAAAAATATTTAAATACCTACATTAAATTATATGAATACGTGGTATTCTATCGTCATTGGATCGTAGAAAATATTATTCAAATTGATAATGTTATTTCTGTTGTGGTCAAACCATAGATGTATTGCGTGGGGCTCCAATAAATACTGAAATATTTGTACGAACCTATAGGTAATAAATGGACTTAAATTAATAGGCAGCGATGTCTACTCTCTCTATAAAGACATCTCTATTTCCTACGAAGTTATTAATTAAAAAGGTTATCTACTAATATAAGAAAATCGTGTTTAATACATAATAATATAATAACATAATAATATATATATAATATATATATTAATTTGAAAAAAAATGCGATTTCTAATTTTTAATGACCATATTGTATTGAATAATTTAAATTAAATTTATGTAAAATAGGTACTTTTAAAAGAAATGTATTTGTTCTATGATTATGTATTATTTTTAAACATAAAAAATTTTGTTTGCTGATTGTATTGTATTTGCAAATATGCA